GGGGGATGGATGTGTACCTAAGGTAGGTAGGAAGTACAGAGTGCGAGTACTCCTACTCCGCCCGTGCATATACGTCTAGGTATCTTTCTTCCTACTCCCCGGATTCTGCTGCTCCGGCAGGCCCAAAAGAAGCGGCTCCTGGAATTCGAAGGGGTTGTTTTAGTTGCTCATGTTTGAAACTGTACCGAATTAGCAGAAACTGCGAATATATGCACCTACTCTACATAGAGAATACATGTAACGAGCTTAGCAGCTTGCCCTACGGGCAAGGCCGCTGCGCTCGCACATGTAAATATGCGCGAAAAACCATTGCCCCAGCAATCGGAATCCCGGTTGATGGCGGTACCATAAGGCTAGATTCATCAGAACCTTTGTTCTCGACGAATAACAACTACCTAAACTAATAAGGTACCTTATTAGTGGGCGCTGCAGCCCGTTATATTGCCCTACACTAGAGGCTGAATAGGGCCTACGTCATGGGTAACCTGAGGAGGTACTCATAGTCAGGTACCGAGTACTCGCTAGCCTAGGTAGGTAATAACTGTCTCTCTCCCCTGTGGTATCTTACTCGAGATCACCTCTTTGTATATACCTTATCTAGGATTTGCGCCAAAAGTCACATAAAGAGCAATAGAAAGTTTGTACACGCCTTTATTCGAAATACAGGTTTATATCAAAATGTTAAGACCCTTAGAATTCTTATTGTTTGATCCCAGCTTCTAGATCTCGTCTATATACGAGCAGGAACGACTTCCCTAGTCTAAGGTAGGCGGCAACAGAGACACTACATGTATATTTCGTACTCCGCTTGGCCCTTCTTACTGGGAGACTTCGTACCTTATACCACTAGAGACTTTCTGTTGGCCAAGCCTTGTGTCTGGGAAGTGCGGGTCAAGCGCCCTATGACGACATGGGATCCGTGTATTGTCGTGGACCCTATTTGAAGCAAGGTACGGAGTACGTACCCCAAGAACATTGACCTCCCTCCGGAGTATTCCAGGGCCCCGATAGAGGGGACAGATATGTACATACCTCTTTGGTAGCCTGCGTAGGTACCTACCAGGAGAAACCACCGACTGACTGTACGAAGCAATACGTTCTTCTCTGCAGAGAACTCTGACCTTTCTACCCCGTAGGCCACCAGTTCAGTTCTCGTCTCTGCAGGTCACTTCTTCCTGCACTTATTATACTCCGTACTTCCTTCGTACGTATTATTCAAAATCCCACCGGCATCAGCCCCAGGCCCCCAGCCTTTCACTACCTATCGTCTTTTACATTCTCCCCACCGCTCCTCTCCGACCCTCTTAACTTCTCCCCAGGGGTGCCTGCCCGTCATTTTCCGCTCATTTCAGAAGACTACCTACCTTACATACCTTACTTCGTACACCCCTCGCCTCCGTACCTGTACGTCGTACTTCATACGTCGTTCCCAGCTTCTTCGCCCAACGGCCATCTCATTACGATTCCCCGTCGGCGACATTACCCTGAGAGAAACGCTTTCTAACCTCTCTTCATTTTCCTTTTTTTCGACCTATCTATCTATTCGCACATTCTTCGTACATTAATCTCGCCAAGCACGCTGGTGTCCATCTCTCTTTTCTATTAACAAACTCAGTGCCGTCTGTCAATGGTGAGAGCAGATCCGGTCACTTCGACTACCTTATTTTAGCTAACCTTTTTCTCTTTAGGCTTGCCGCCCCGTCTCGTCTCTGTTAGCTAGCATTCTCCCCGAAAGTCGACGTCGATCGCTTCCATCCCGGGCACCCCACGACCTCATCGAACATTGCCCCCTTATTGGATTTGGCGTCACTCCACTTGCCTTGAGTTGCCTGATCCCGAGTGCTCCTTGCAGCCATACCTCGATCTGCCCTGCACTAGCTCACAGACGCACACCATTATCGGCGCCTTTCCATTGCTGCATTTTCGTGCCTCTCGTCTCAGCTTTCTTCCTCATCCGCTCTCTTTGAATTTTTCTTCTTCTTCTTCTTTTTTTTTCTTCTTTTTTCTTTTCTTCTGGATATCTCTTTCCCCTAAACATTCCCGACATAGCCTAGGCGCATCACTAACCCCACAAGGGTATCTTACTCCCAGAACTCATCAGTCGGGTTGTCGAGTTACAGGGCTGGTTTCAACTGTCGTCACCAAGCTCGTCATCGAGATAGTAATACTTATTCGCCGCCCATCTACATCCCAGGCTAGCCGAGTCGATTCTTTCCTTCCTACATGCTCCATAGTCCGTCCCGTGGTACATTCTTCTTCTTGACTTTACTCTTATCAACGCCATCCAGTCATGAATCGCCACAATGGTCATGGGGAATCGATCAGGTTACCAGCTAAATCTGAAGCTCTCGGAAATATAATTATGCCCAAGTCACAGCAATCGCCTTTCCTTCCTACCATGGCCGACTCAAGGACAGGAGACTCGAGGATGGCCGACCGGGCTTCTGTCCATTATACCATCAATGTCACTCCACACGCTGCGAGGCCTTCTCCCGACCCGTTTTCCTCACATGGGACGTCGCATTCGAGATCTAGCTCCTACACGAGAGGCTCCAAACCTACTACACCGCTGGCTTCACCCTACCCTGTTGGTCAGTTTTACCCGTCGCAGCCTCCCAAGCTTTCGCCGACAAGGACGCCTCCGGCGAGAGAGCCCAGTCCGAACTACTTCGGTCTCATACCCGAAACGTCAGCGGACACCGGAGATTCGGCTCTGGCGTCACGAGATAATTGGAGTCCCCCTTCATCATCAATTAAGTCGTTCGCCGCCGCCATTCCTAAACCTGTTCAGATCAGCGGCAACCCCGACTATGAGGCCTTCAAGAGGCAAGCCGATGCCAATCGGGGAGAAAGCTTTGCATTGTCGACTTCTCACTTCGGTCTCGCGTCCGCGTCCGCCGAGGGCTCAGTGCCCCGACCAAGGCCTCAACGATGGCACACCTATTCCAGCGAGACGTTCGCCGACATTCCATCCCAGCGCGTGTTGAAGGAACCCTTGACCGATCGCATGGATGTCGACAGGGACCATGAACGCGGCTCGGCTTATGTCTCGTCGGAATCGAAACGGAATTCCGATGATTCGCTTCAGGCAGCCGCTACGGTTCTTAATCTGCCGAGGTTTGACTTACTCACACCGTTTGAAGCGTCTCCCGAGAAAACTACCATGCCACCGTCGAACACCACAGACCGACAACCCTGCCTCTCGATGCCGCAGAACAAAGCCAGCGTGCCATCATCGAATCTACGAACTCCATCCAATCGGAAGGCTGACGCTCCATCTGATCGCGTAGGGGGGCCTTCTTTGATTCTGGCAAGTCAACTAAAACAAATGATTGAGAGCTTCGAGTCGGATTCCGAGCTACTGATTCTCGACTTGCGAATGTCTCAACAATACTACCAGGCACGCGTCAAGGGGGCCCTGAACCTGTGCACGCCAACTACGCTCCTGAAGCGTGCGACATTCAACCTCCAAAGACTGCAGCAGACATTTCAGAATCCAGCTGATAAAGAGCAATTCTCCCAGTGGGCCTCGTCGAAAAATCTGGTCATCTATGACGCTCATTCAGCTGACGTGCGAGATGCCGTGGCGTGCTTGAACATGGCCAAGAAATTCACCAACGAGGGGTATAAAGGGGGTATTTTCATCCTGCGGGGCGGATTCAATGCGTTCTATGAGAAGTTCCCTGAACTTGTCGAAGAGTGCCCTGCAGCCGGCTCAGGAAGTCCACAATCGTCTGCTCCTGGGCAAGACAACGCCCGTCTCGGAATTCCCCCGATCATAGGCGGCGTCATGCTGCCGAGCGCATCAAGTAGCCCAAATCCCTTCTTCTCTAATATCCGACAGAACATGGACCTGGCCGACGGAGTCGGACAATTTGAAATTGCTCGGCCCCGGGGTGTAGACTCTCCCACCTTGCCCCAGTGGCTGCGGGAAGCGTCGACAGAGGCGGACCGGGGAAAGAAGGTGTCGGATAAGTTTTTGCACATCGAAAGGGACGAGCAAGAGCGCATGAAGAAAGCATATTCCGCTTTCAGTCCCCAGTCTAACCCCGAAGACCCTTGCCCCACGGTTCAGCTGTCGGGCATCGAACAGGGTGCCAAGAATCGCTATAAGGACATCCTGCCCTTCGACCATTCCCGGGTGAAGCTACAGGGACGCCCGTCCGGGGCCTGCGACTATGTCAATGCGAGTCACCTCAAAGCGTCAGGGAGCAACAAGCGATATATCGCTTCACAAGGGCCGCTGCCAGCTACGTTCGAGGTAGGCACGAATACCGGACGCTTCACGCAATGGGGGCTATGGGAACTTGTCAAGCTGACTAACGAGTGCAGGATTTTTGGTCCGTCATCTGGGATCAGGATGTGCGAGTGATTGTCATGTTGACTGCCGAATCTGAAGGGGGGCAGCTCAAGTGCCATCCGTACTGGAAGTCCAATGATTTTGGTCCCATTCAGCTGAGGCCGCTTTTGGAGAAGAAGGTATCTCTCGACATTGACAAGCACCGTTCTACCTCGCACCCCTCATCTAGGGGTTCGTCGTCTACCGTGGGCTCTGAAGCTGGGAGGAGGCGTGCCAACACTACAACGACATTCGGTGGCGCGACGCCGGCCCCTCAGCCGATGCCCAGCCAAAGCGAATCTCCGTACGTCATTATTCGCAAGTTCGCCCTGTCTCATTCCGCGCACCCTTTCGCTCCGATTCGCGAAGTCACTCACCTACAATACCCGTCTTGGCCGGACTTCGGGACTCCAGCCCAGCCCTCGCATCTCCTTGCGCTCGTCGAGGTGGCGAACGTCATGCAGCGGGCCGCCCTACCCGTCAACACGCCGTCCGTCGCCGCTTCAGGGTCATATGCGGGGTCGCTCGCGGCGTCGTTCCAGGAGGAGCCGGAAAACGACCCGCGAGCCAGACCCATGTTGGTGCATTGCTCCGCCGGGTGCGGACGTACGGGGACGTTCTGCGCCGTAGATAGTGTGATCGATATGCTCAAGAGGCAGCGCCTGGCGAGGACGACTCTGAGGCCGGTCAAGAAACGGGATTCTGACGGCGACATCAAGATGAGCGGGCAACGCGAGGTGGAGGAGCCCACCTCTCCTAGACTGTCGCAGGCGAGAACCGGCGCCTCTGCTGTACCGTCCCCGCACCGAATGAGCGGCCTGGAGAGCCGTCGCAGCTCGTGGGAAGAGCCGCCCCTCGACACCTCATGGGTCGGCGACGACACGGTGGACCTGATCGCCAAGACGGTCGAGGACTTCCGCGGCCAGCGTATCAGTATGGTACAGACGCTCCGCCAGTTCGTTCTGTGCTATGAAACGGTTCTCGAGTACGTCGCGCGGGCGAACGAGAGGAGCGGCGCTCCTTCGGCCAATAACGGCAAGGGAAGAGGTCGGAGCGGAAGCCTGCAGGTTGGACGAGATCAGTCACTTTAACATCCAGTCATGGCACTGTGGATGTGGTGAATCCTTCAAAAAAAAATCACTAGAAGATTTTCCAGCAAATGCACAAGAGCAGGGAAGAAGGCGTAACGGGACTCTCTTTAGACCCTGGCGTAGCTTGGCATTATCGTCGTCCTGCTTTTCGGAATCTGGACGATACCATTGAGGTCAAAAAAAGAAAAAAGGTCAGTGGTGGAGGTAAACAGAAGACCGTTACACACGAACGGATGGAAACTACTGGAATTTCCTGTGCATCGGATGGCGTTCTTGGTCTTGTATATTTCTCTCTTGTTTGGTTGGGGCGTTTCTCGGCTGGCCTAGCATATCTACCTGAGGAGCGTTGATAAGTTAGAAGATGGGTTTTCTCTTCGGGGGGAGATGAGCCGACATTCAGATAACGTCAATCGATGTGTTGGTGGCGTGCGCAGGAGATACATAAATGGCCTTCAGTCTTGGTTTTGGTCCTGGCTTTATGACTTGATATTGATATAATAGTAGACTTAAACTTCATGATCGCGATGACGAGCAAATGATCCATGATCGGTTGAGAATGCGTCTTCATCTTCTCTATCCTCATGGAAAATATTCGCAAAGACAAAAAGAAGTATTCGGCACTCCCTGTGGTTTGTGCACCATGGTCCAAGCGTCCTACTTACATTGTCCTTGAAAACCAGACAAGCAAGAGAGATAGAGAGAGAAAGGAGAGGCATTTTCGAATACCTCTCTGTCGAAGGCCCGACTGTTCATGCTCTATTTTTCGGTGGTACAATTACAGTAGCCGTATACAAGCAGAGGCACCAGAAGAGCTCTCTCAAAGCTTACTGTTTGATTCGGTTGCTCCTTTGCCTCAACGCCTGCTGCATCCTGAAAAGTATCCACTCGTGGAGGATGGATAAGCGATTCGTGTCACGACCCAACCCTCTTCCGCACGCTTTCCTTTCTCCTCCAAGAATATCCACAACCTTGCGTCGTGAATTCCATATTTCTGGCCCCTTTTACTTCCAGAGCTTGCCAAGGGAAATTTCTTTATCGTCGTGCTTGTTGAGGATCTTGGCGGTGGCGAGCTCAAAGTCTTCCTGGGTGACGTGGACGCGACGCTCGCGGAGGGCGTACATGCCGGCCTCGGTACAGACGCCCTTGAGCTCGGCGCCGGAGCAGCCGTTCATCTTCTCGGCGATCTTGGTGAGGTTGATGCCGCGGGTGAGGTTCATCTTGCGCGAGTGGATGCGGAGAATGTCGGCGCGGGCCTCGACGCTCGGGGGCGGGAACTCGATCTTGCGGTCGATACGGCCGGGGCGGAGGAGGGCGGGGTCGAGAATGTCGAGGCGGTTCGTGGCCATGATGACCTTGATGTTCTTCGTGGGCTCGAAACCGTCGAGCTGGTTGAGGAGCTCGAGCATGGTGCGTTGGACTTCCGAGTCGCCGCCGGAGGAGCCCTCGACGCGGGAGGAGCCGATGGAGTCGATCTCGTCCATGAAAATGATGGAGGGGGCGTGCTCGCGCGCCATAACGAAGAGTTCGCGCACCATGCGGGAACCTTCGCCAATGTACTTTTGTACGAGCTCGGAGCCGGAGACGCGGATGAACTTGCAGTCGGTGTGGTGGGCGACGGCGCGGGCCAACAGGGTCTTGCCTGTACCGGGGGGGCCGTAGAGGAGCACGCCCTTGGGCTGGGCGATGCCGAGGGACTCGAAGAGTTCCGGGTGCTTGAGGCCGAGCTCGATTACCTCTTTGATTTCCTTGATTTGTTGGTCGAGGCCGCCGATCATGTCGTAAGTACTGTCGGGGACTTTTTCGACCATCATGAGAGAGACGAGGGGGTCGACCGAGGACGGGAGGATCTTTTCAAGCTTGTATGAGTCGGATAGTAGGGTGACCCGTTTTCCTACGGTGAGCTTGGAGACGTCCACGCTGTCCGAAACGTCGACAACTGCGAGAGGGAGGAGGCCACAAGCCATTCATGTCAGCGGGGCAAGGTCATCTGTAAAGCGGTGAATGGCTGGGAATTCGTACCATATTTGCCTTCCGGATGTACTTTGACCAGCACCTTCTTTGTGCCCATGACCTTCACAACCTCACCGACATAGGATCCTGGTTGTTGTAGCAGACCGAGCTCCTCCCGCAATAACCGGACCCTGGAGTTGTAATCATTCCTTTGAGCCTCGAGACGACGGAGGACAGCTTGACCCTTGAGAATCTCAAGCTTCATCGCCTCAATTTTGTTCTGGTAATAGCTATCGAGGGCCATCTTGACGGTTTGCCCGGGTGGGCCTGGAGAGAAGATAGGGATTTGCGAGCAGCAGGCCAGTTGCAGGGTATATGGTTGGAGTAAAACGGCTGTAATTAACTTGTAGGTCGAGAGCTGACGTTATGGTACAGATCGAACTTGCAGTGGGTCGTCGGGAAAAATGGGAGAATCGAGTTTTCGCGAGTGAAGGATCGGGGATGAGTGGTGGTATTCGCTGGCCAGTTAAGGCTGAGAGTGTGATGATGAGTTTTGTTGGAGGTTTACCAAGTATGGATATGGATACATGGGTTTGCCAGGCAAGCATCGGCGACGCGTTCTCCCGGAGGCGAGTGCAGCCACGTGACTGATAACGGAAAATATTCGCTCCGAGGTGACAAGTAATCTAAACGTCAAGTAGTCCAAGCTCCCCACTGAAGACAGCTTGAGTGGAGCCGAAACTGCAGAGTGACGTCTCCGCCAATCACAGCACAGCATGTCGTCACAGTTCTGAATACCTGTACGTGTACGTTGTAAGACGGATCACGGTGGAAAAAGGAGTCCAAACCGAGCCCGATCCAGCGATTACTACTTCGAAATTCGTACGAATATTAGGAATTACGGAGGCCAACTGATGACCAGGACGCCCACAGGTATTCATAGGTATTTAGCGATCTCTTTTTTCGCTCGTCACCATCTACCATCCTAACTTACAATACCTGCGTATTCACACACACAAGGTAACATCAGGTCAGTGATTGCTGCTGTGCCAAGACGGACCCGGAATGACCACCTGATCATTCAGCGAGCCCCTCACATGCCCTTCTGATGTACGAAGTAGGAAGTAGGGGCAGGAGGCAGGCAAGACAATTGTTCGCCCAGCTTTCACCTACGTAATGCAGAGACCAAGACAAATGGGTTTGCCGTTTTTATTTTAACACATACCTACGTGCCCAAGAACGCTCGGTAGGGAGCCATGACAGGCTAGAGACGTTAGGGAAGATGGCCGGGAAATTCGGGGATGTTTCTGAAAGTAAGCCATCATCATATTTCACCGCTACACTGAAATTGACACTTCACTCGTCTGTCGCGGACGTGATCGCCCGGGTCACCAGGCTGTTGATCTTCTGCGATCGACCCTGAATTCTCCGTGAGGTAGCCACCTAAAGGTACCTTTAGGTAGGTACCTAAGGTAGTAGTGTATGTACGCGTGTGGGTACCGGGATAAGTTAGATGGGTACCTACCATACAGAGTGATTAGATGCCAATATGGAAGTAGATGAGGTTCAGGGAAGAGTACCTAGATAGGTAAGTCATCTACCTTAGGGGCGGACGCTATTCTGGTGGCCTTAGCGTGTTGGGTCGCCCTTTCCCGCTCTGGACTGTTTTCTTCGACGCTTCACTCTTGCCCCGCCTCTTATCTCGTACACTACTTTGCTCCCTGGTTCCTTCAAACCCAAGCGAATATCCTCGTCGCTCCCCATTTCTTCATGTTCTTCCGCTTTTGTCTTTTCGTTTCTTTCCCTCGTCTCCTTCTCGAGTAGGTAAACCAACCGTTCCGAGTCGACCCTTTGGGTGATGAAAGACTGAGAGTTACCAGAGCAACGTCGATCTGAGAGAGACAGTCGTCCAGTATCGAAAGAAAAGACAGGAAAACGAACAAACGACCTATGCGTCCCCTTGTCCACCGTCGTGCAACGTCTTTACTGCCTTAGCGATCGCTTCTTCGATTTAACCAACCTATGTTACATCTTACCTCGTTTTGCCCCTGACAGGCGGAACCCGCGAGAGACGGTACAGTCGAAAGGTCGTCATACGAAAGCTTCCGCGACTCGGCGACATCGGCCCATTATTCGTTTCCTTTACCAAAAAACTAAGCATATCCGTTTCTAGCAGTGTATATACGGAGTATATATATTCATTCTCATCGCGTCCTCTCCACTTGTCGCGTTCTGTCGATGCACTACGCGTTCCAGAAAAGCATCAGCAGCAGTACCACCAGAAATTGTTCGACCCCGCCGGATCTGCACCGACCTACCTCGTATCACATACTTTTACTGACTGGCTGCGTGTTGCGGGACCGACCTCGCCTCGGTTATCTGGTTTCAGACGAGACCACAGCGTCTTGCGTGGCCCGTCATGCCTCCCTCACATTCATCTCGTCGGTCTTCTGCCCATCCCTCCCGAGAGTCCCTCCGCGAAACCCTCGACCCAGCCGATTCCAGCCGTCGTTCGAGACTTGACTCGGACGCTGCCCCCGAACACGGCTTGTCTGAGAGCTTCGACTCCTTCCAGTCCACCGACACGGTGAGGAGATGTCCCGACACAGCCTCTTACGGTATGTTTTTTTTTTTTCTTCCTTCGCCTTCTCTCAATCTTCTCTTGTCTTCCTGTCCGATGGTGGTTTGTCTTGGTTTGTGGTGTATGGTTCGTCATCCCTGGTTGGCGCCCAGCCTTGGCTATGCCTTCCATCCTTGCACTTCCAATGTGTTACGTGAATTTACGTGTATCTCTCTCCCTCCTACCTCCCACACCTCTTTTTCTTCCCTCTTTTTAATCGTCCCCTCCTGGTTTTATCTCTTAATTTTTGTGCTCCTAATCCTCCAATTTATCTATCCTTTTGCTCCTTCTCCTCGTCCCTGATCTCCTCAGTCTGTTTTGAGTCGGGCCTAAACCTGCCGACGACCGGGTCGAATCCCATGACCTCGAAGCATCTGCTAACAGCGTCTCGTGTGACGGAACCCAGCGTCCATACGAACTAGCCAGACTCCAACACAACAACGCGTTGAAGAACCTCAGACCCACGACCGTGGTCGCTCCCGCTCCTCGCAGCCGTCTCGATCCCCCCTCCTCGGTGCCGAACGCGTCAAATCCTCCCGATCAAGAAAAGCTCCAATGCCTCACCACTACCGCCGTCCGACCAATCCAACCGCTCCCTACCGCGGTGAGGTTTTCTCCACCGAAGACGACATCTCCGAGGTCGAGGCGGACGCCGCTGCGGAGCGTGAGCGTGAGCAACAGCAACAAGGCTACGGCTCACGGAGGAGACCCGGCCTCGCCAATACCCTTTCCCGCGTCCACTCGCACCGCAGCACACTCGAAGATGATGACGCCTTGGAAAGAAGCACTCACTCGATTACAAATGATCTCCAGGGTCTCGTCGACGACGGCTTGGAGGGCGATGCACCTGAGGAAGTGTCTGACGACCATTCTGACGGTGACATAAGCGATGCGGAAAGCTTCACCCTCAAGGACCGCCAACAGGCCATCAACCAGACCCATCCTTTCGGTATACGGCTCTGGAAACCTGCACTATATAAGAAGGACCGGTCCGTTCAAAAGAATGCCGAGGGAGATATTCATTCCACCCCAGGAGGTAAAGTCAGCAGGTGGCTCCTCTTCTTCAACCTTCTCTGGACTCTCCTCTTTGGCTGGTGGATGGCCGCTTTCTCCGCTCTCGGCGCCCTTGTCTGCTTTTTCTTCGCCGCCACCCCCAGCGGTAGGGCGTACGGCCGCGTTTTGTGGGGTCTCGCTGGCTACCTCTTCTACCCCTTCGGCAAGTTCGTGCGGCTGGCGCAGGACGAGGCCTACCTTGACGAAGACGAGGGCGAGGGTCGAAGCATTTCCGAGTACGAGCAGTGGCAGAGCGGAGACCTCGAGTACGGACGCCTATTCTTCGGTCCCGATCGGAACCGCTCCATTATTGGGCGTTCGCGGAGCAGTATCGATTCGGAGCCGGATGAGACTGATAGCCTGCTGGGACGGACTCGACGGGGCGAGCGTAGCGAGACTCCTCCGAGGCTTAAGAGGCGCCTCTTCGGTCGTGGCCAGTGGAACATTGGCCGCGTCGTCTTCTTCTCTGTCTTCTACGCCTTGCTGACGCCGTCGCTGATCATGGTGTCGCTCATCTGCTGGTTTTTCGTCTTCACCATCCCCATGGGCAAGGTGACCATGTTGCTTTTTGACCACGTCCGGCGTCACCCGCTGGCCTTGTCTTTCGAGTCGGATGTTAACGCCGCTCGTCTCTCTGGCACGCAGCATTCGTCCATTCTGCTGTGCACTTACCGCGCCGTTGGCAGCCGCTACTGGAAGTACACCGTCGACGGGACCAACATCTTTCTCATCAACCTCATGGGGGTCGTTGTCTTCGTCATGTTTGACTGGCTCGTTCTCCATGATATCCTTCACATCGAATCGCCCCTCACCTCGCCGGCTTTCCTGTTTGTCATGGGTCTTCTATCGACTATTCCCTTGGCCTACTTCATCGGCCAGGCTGTGGCCTCCATTTCCGCTCAGTCCTCGATGGGCTTGGGCGCAGCCGTCAATGCCTTCTTCTCCACCGTCGTCGAGGTGTTCCTCTACTGCGAGGCCCTCAAGCAGGGCAAGGGGCACCTGGTAGAGGGAAGTATAGTGGGGAGCATATTCACCGGCATTCTCTTCCTCCCCGGACTCTCCATGTGCTTCGGCGCCATCAAACGCAAGACGCAGCGGTTCAACGCCCGCTCAGCCGGCGTTACATCTACCATGTTGCTCTTTGCTGTCATCGGCGCCTTTGGCCCTACCCTGTTCTATCAGGTCTACGGCACTCACGAGATGAACTGTCTCGACTGCGTCGATTACGGAAGCGGCGATGCGTCGACGCCAGGCGGTGGCACTGACGGTAGGGACTGCCGACGGTGCTACTTCTCGCAAGCGCCCACGCTCGACGATCGTTTCTACCTCGAGGCCGTGCGTCCGTTTAGCTACTTCTGCGCTTGCCTGCTCTTCCTCTCCTATATCCTAGGGCTGTGGTTCACTCTGCGGACGCACGCCGCGGTGATCTGGAACACCGATGGCGACGAGAAGAAGCACGAAGAACCTGCAGCGCATAGCTCCGGCAGACAACCTGTTCCCCAGCCCTCGGCCGAGACCACTGGGCTGTCTGCAGACATCCGCGAGTCGAACCTGTACAAGCGAGTGCTTGGGCACACGCAGAAGCAGGTCGGGCTGTCGTCTCGATCCGAGGACGACACCCGACAGAGTTCCACACTGGGTACAGCCGTCTCGGACCCCAACGGCGTGGGGGCTACGCCCCACCAAGTGCCGCCCAAGGGCAGCGGCGGCGCCGGCGATGCGGTGAATTCTAGAATGCATTTCCCCGGGTTCTCGGAAGCCGACAACACGCAGCTAGCTCGCGAGGTGGCGGAAATCGCAGCCACAGCGGCCACGGCGGCCACGTACGCGGCCCGCGAGGTCCGTTTTCCCGGTGGCCGTGTCTCGGCGACGCCTCGCGCTCCACCCCGGACCGGAACGATCCCCATCGAGGAAGAGGCGACGACGGCTGTGGCCCACGCCGGTGGACACGGAGGGCATGACGCGCCCAACTGGAGCAAGTTGAAGAGTTCGGTCATCCTCTTGGGAGCTACCCTAATGTACTCCATTGTGGCCGAGGTCCTGGTCAGCACGGTTGATGTCGTTCTGGAGGGGTTTGCCATCGACGAGAAGTTTTTGGGAATTACGTTGTTCGCCTTGGTACCGAACACCACTGAATTCCTGGTATGTTGCTCCCCCGTGTCTTTGGAGTGTCGCATTCATCCCCTCCCCGGATCCTTTTTTCTTCTTCTCCCTTTTATCCTTCGCGTGTTACGCCCAAGCTAACTAGGCGGCCCGTTTTCTAGAACGCCATCTCGTTCGCCATGAACGGCAATATCGCCCTCTCCATGGAGATCGGTTCCGCATACGCACTTCAAGTCTGTCTCCTGCAAATCCCGGCGCTGGTCCTCTTCTCTGCCGTCTATCCTCTCGAAGTCAGCGGCGACGACGTCCTTGATCGGTATACATTCTCCCTGCTGTTTCCACAGTGGGACATGATCCTCGTCATCCTATGCGTCTTTCTTCTGAGCTACATGTACGGAGAGGGCAAGAGCAACTACTTCAAGGGCAGCATCCTTGTTCTGTCATACCTTGTGGTTGTTGTCGGGTATTACCTGTCGGGGTATGCCGAAGACATCATGGGCGCGGACAGATTTGACGTGATGGGGCGCGATGGGGCGTACAGGAACTTCAAGACTGTGGGCCGTCGGAGCAGCGGGTTCGCGCTTGCAGTGTGAAGTCGGATGCACAAGGGTGGGTGACTGATTTGGAGACGACAGCTCTTAGATATAATGGTGTATTAGGGGGGTTTGCAGGAACTTGGAGGGAGCATGACTGTTGTAATGTTTTGTATAGCGGACGGGGCAGACATGTGTTTCTTTACCGGGATGTTCTGTCTACTGCATTGCTGTCGTCTGGTTGGACAGGCATGGAGCATGGAAGTCGAGGCGTTGATATATCGTGGCATGTTCTATCTTCTTTGGTCGATAAACTGTTGGTTATTAGCGGAATTATAAATTGTTCTTTGGCTCTGAGGTGGTTTGTCTTATTAACTAGTTGACATTCTCTTTTCAGGGCTAGTAATAACGAAAGATCAAGTTAGATTCGAACGACAAAAGAGTTCAGGGCACCCAGTGGCCATGTGGTGATGGGGCTTGCCCTGTGTTTAGGTTTCCGGCACCAGTTATGGCTTTCTTCTTCGCGTCTAATATATGACGATACATTATCATGGTGTTTAACGTTCAACCTTTACAGAGTCGTCCGTCCCATCAACTTCGACCCCAGTCACTTTACTTTCCGTTACGCCATTCCCATATCTAAAAACATTGAACCCGGCCTGTTCCCTCTTTATCTGATGATGTTTTCCTGTTCTCGTCTCAAGCATCTCAACGTACCGTATTCTCTTCAGATGTCTGTCTGCCACGAAAAAAAGAAAAAAACCCATCACCAAGAAGCAACGAACAGTAAAATCGAGACAGAACATATGCTGTGTCGTACGTAAAAATAAATTAAGCGAAGAATATTCCATGATAGATTCCGATACGTCAACGCAAGAACTTGCCGGGTTTCTACAAGATAGGGTGGGGATACCTAGGTACTTCGCTGGCAATTGAGATTCCGACGCAAAGCGAATTGTGGGGAAGAAACGGACACATGCAAAGCGGACGTAAGAATCGGGAAAAGATAAATCCGATTGGCCTTGTCGAAGGTACCGAGTCCTCTCTCCGAAAATTGTTCCCATCTCGATTCTTTCTCCTTATAACATCCGTTTTCCCTCTCTGAAAATACCTGAGCTTTGGAATTTTTCTTCTTCTGTTCATTCCATTAATTACCTAGGCGACTCGACAAAGTTTACGATTGCTCAAAAAGCTCGCGTGCTTTCAAAAATGGGCGAAATTTCTCTCATTATCCTCCACACACGGTGGAAAATGTGAAATGTGAAGAATATGTCCCATCGGAGATGAAGAAGAAGGTGAGGTGAGGATCATCTCAATCAGTTGTCCCAGACTTCGTTGAGCATCCACAGCTGCCCAGCCCACTGCTCCCTCACCGTCGACCAAATCTGCTCAGGCGGCAAGATAAATCCACCCTCGCGAGCATTCGCGGGTCGCAGCTCCAGCGTCCAAGAATGATCCGCGGCCAACGCGCCATGGTGATGATCACGCCCCGTGCCGGAACTGGCATACAGCACCTCGCAGGCCGGGCCGACGACGTACCGCTTGCCGCTCTCCGCCGCAATGGCCGCCGCCACGCCCTCGCCGACGGCCATCATGCGGGGCAGCGTGGCGGGGAGGTCCTCGGGCTTGCACGACCAACCATAAGGTGTCAGGATCAGCTGGCTGTACGAGTGCCAGTCGATGTACGAACGGATGCCGGCCTCGCGCGCCGCCAGCTCCGACGAGAGGGCCGACACGGCTACGTTCTCCGGCGTGTCGCCTGCGCACTGGCCCTTGTAGGACTGGCTGCAGGGGTCGGGCGAGACGGAGCCTCCCTCGGGGTCGGCGTTCCACTGGTACTTCCAGTTGCGGTTGTTGTCCGTGCCGACGCAGGTGGTGTTGCTGCGCGGTTGGCGGTTCTTTCGCCACATGCGGTCCGTCGTTTGCGAGTACACGAAGCCTTTTTAAGCGGTGCCATCGTTAGGGAGATGAGAGGAAAGCAAGAGGAACAGGGGAGGCCCAAAAAAAAGAAGAAGAAAAAAGAAAGAAAAAACCATACCGTCAGGATTATGAAAAGGAACCATCCAAAAATCGTAATGGTCCAGGATCCGGGTCACGTTGGCATCGCCCGACTTGTACCCGTCGATGAGTTGGTAAGTCAAGTACTCGAGGACCATGGTGCTGATCCACTCGCGAGCATGCACGGTAGAATGCCACAGAATGACGGGCTTGCTCTCCTTGCCCTCCTCGTCGCCCCAGAAATTGAAGGCGTAGATCTCGCGCCCTTCGTACGAGTCGCCCAGGTACACCTTCTCGGCGTGGCCGGGGAAAGCGGCGGCCAGGTCATCCCAGTAGTCGAGGTGGTCCTCGTAGGCGTGGTAGGAGTCGAACCAGCTCAGGTCGGGCAGGTCGTCGTCGCGCTTGCGGAGGCTGCGGCTGTACCTGGCTTGCACGGCCGACTCGGCGCGGATCTGCTGCGACAGGTCGCGGCTCAGCAGCTGGGCGTCGAAGCCCATGGCCTCGAAGCTGCGGACCTCGTGCGGCGGGATGACCACCTCGAGCGTGTCGCGGCCGTGCGCCGAGTGGTAGGGCGAGAGCTGGTGCTCGATCTCCTCGATCTCGCGCGGGCTGCCGGCCCTGATGCGGTAGACGTGGTACCCTTCGTAGCTGACTTTGCTGTTGTTGTCGCCGGCGACGGCATTGCGGGGTTGGGGGCCCGTGACGGCGGCGGCGGCCGCCAGCGCCGAGAAGGCGAGGGTCCCGAGGAGCTTCATACCGGAGGGATAGACGGACGGACGAAAGTCTGGCCTGCTGGCTGGCGTCGGGATGGACGTTTCCGAGACAGGTGGAACAGTCCCCGAAGAGAATAAAAAAAAATGAAGAAAGAAAGGGGAAGAGAGGGCAGAGACTAGAACATTGATGTCTGCTCGTTCTTCAATAGGAGGCGGCGTGTGTGGAGATGTGGGAGAGCAGCGCAGCTCTATTTATGCTGCCCCAAGCTGGCGGGTCACCATTCTCTCTCCCCATACTCCACATCTTCACCACAACGCCGGAGGAGAGGCGGGGGGGGGAGGAGTTTCCGAGGACTTACAAGAGAAGTTTGGCGACCTAACAGGGACCAAATGACGACGATGGCAGCGAAGGATGCAGCTGCAGGTGTAGTTGCAGTTGCAGTTGCAGTCCCAGTGAGGGGTATCTGAGTCCCGAGTCGCACGTCGTGTATCCGTATCTGTCCATGATTACGAACGAGGAGAAGAGGCCAAAGCTGAACAACCAGGGGTCGTTTATCGACGGCCATCGCGTGCTTGGACAAGGGTAGTAGTAGTAGTACTCATGCAACTGGAAGCATCCAATTGCACCAGTGCATAATCAGGCATGTGGTCAATGGAGACGGACTATCGAGGGAGACACGAGACATCCGCTGACACTGGACAGCGACCATCATCACAAGAGGAAGTTTCGATTGCCGGAACTGGGGGATTTGGGGGGCCAGTGAGTTTTGGTCAACCAGTCGGCTGACAGTCAACGTCGCAATGGAAGAGGGGGGGAAGGTTGGAAGGTCGTCAGGTTGCAGGGCTCAAGATCCAGCCCTGTACGACCGTAAACCGCAAGCAGCAGGTGATTGTGCGTCTCGTCGCCTCGGCCATTGATTCCCTTCTTGGCATTGTCGTTCCACGTCTTTTTTGTTTGTTTCCCCCTCCCCCCGCTCTCTCCACAAATCCTTGCGCAATGGATAGATTGTTGATGATGAGTGATGATAGCAGATGCTGGCGTTGACGGCGGCGGGCCACTTTGCGTATGCCGAATCTCTCTCTCTCTCTCTCTCTCGCCCTTCTTGTCGACTCTGCCATTTCAATCACAGCCGAGATAAAACCGACATCTCGGACAGTATGTATGGAACGGAATAGCTTCCAGTGCACACTTCCAGCCCCCCTTTCCTTGTACCCGATTTGCTTCAACATGGATTGCCCTTCTTTTGCGCATTGCGTTCCCCTTCCTCACGACTTGACTATGTACGTATTCAGCAGGACGATAACGGCTCCAACTCCTTGACCCCTTCGCGCTCCTTGCCATTTGATCGGTAGGTTCCGGTCTATGACCACCCTTCTCGCAGCTTAACCCGTACTTCAATCCCATCATGAGGACGAGATGTCACACTCCGCCTCTGGAAGGTCGCGGTCAGCCAGCCTATAGATCACGCTTCGATGCAGATGGGGGCTTCCAAACTTACAGTATACACCTTGGAGTCGGAAACATGCTGACCCTTCTCGTTCAGGATAGGTTTCCCCTTCGAGTCGAGCTTGGCCTCCCCAGCGCCCACCTTGAAAAAGTCGTACTTTCGCGCTGCACAGGCCAAGATGACCCGAGCCTCGATATTAGCCAGCTCCTGCCCGATGCAGTTTCGCGGTCCCCGCTCAAACGGTCGCCACGCCGCCGCGGGGATCGAACGTCCCTGCCCTTCACCCGATCCCGATCCCGATCCCGATCCCGATCCCGACACCGCCGGCTTCTTCTCGTGGTCTTCTCCGTCGCCGCCTTCCGCCGCTACCTTACGATCTTCCTCTTCCTCCTCCTCCTCCTCGCCTTCCTTGTCCATCCACGTGTCCGTGTTACCCAGCCATCGCTCCGGGATAAAGTCGTTGGCCGTCGGGCCGTAGATGGCCTCGTCCCGCTGGATCAGAGGGTGGCAGTTATAGAGGATGACGCCCTCGGCGCAAACCTTGCTGCCGTCTTTCCGCGTAAGATGCCAGTTGGAACCCGGCGGCACGTACCGCGCCGTGCCCGCCGGCGGGTAGAGCCGCAGGATCTCCTTGATGACGGCCGACATGTACGTCATCCTGCCCATGAGGTCCTCGCCGTTGGTCTCGAAGGCGCGGCGGACCGTTTCCAAGTCGGCATCGGCGTCGTCCGGGCCGCCGGGTCCGAACAGGTCGTCGAGCTCCGCCCGCAGCGCCTTGAGCGCCCGCGGCGTGCGCGACAGCTCGTAAAACGCCCACTGGAGGAGTATGCTCGTGGTGTCGTGGCCGGCGAACAGGAACGACTTGAGCTGGTCGATGGTGTCCCGGACCACGTCCTCGGTGAGTTCGTCTTCGTCCTGGAGACGCAGCGCGAGCACGCTGCGGCTGCTCGTCCTCTTCTTGCCCTGCCTCTGCTTCTTCAACTCCTCGTACTTTTGCTGGATGATCCCCCGCATGTGCGCGTCGAGGCGCTTGGCTCGCCGGTGGCGCGTCCAGACGGTTAGAGGTTGCATCACGGCAGGGACTCCGCCGTCGTCGTTCTCGTATGTAGACAGGAGATCCCTGTACAACTTGATGAACTCGGTTTGCTGATCGGCCGGCAGCTGGGCGCCGACGTCATGGCCCATCGTGACGGCTCCTAAAGGACAAAAGACGAATTCCGATTCAGTTTCAGATACTTCCAAGGGTCAAACTCGGGTTCGACGTAGGAGGTGCCTTAACGTACCGATGATATCAAAAGTCATCCCTGTACACAACGGCTCGAGGGTGAAGGCTTCGCCGGTCTGAGCGTACCGATGAAGATGGGCCAAGAAGGGCTCCGTCTTATCGAATATGATGGGCAACAGGGACATGAGATGTTGATGAGAAAACCCGGGATTAAACCGCTTCCTGGTCTCTTTCCATTTGTGTCCCTGTGGTGTGAAACACGCCACCCATCAGTTCTCTGGAAGACAATAGGGGACAACTGACATGGGGGGGGGGGTTGGAGGCGTCAAGAGGCAACACAATACATACGGTCGTGAGGATAATGGATTGAGATCCGATGAGAGGACCGAGGAAGCCCATCCTATGGTTCTTAGGAATACTATAAGGCCACGCCTTGGTCTGTTTAGACACCTGCTCGGCGATGTCGGCATCGCGAATCACCAGGATGGGCCGGTTGAAGGGCCGAACGTCGAGGACCATGACATCAGGGTTGCCGATGGACTTTAACATGGCGGAGAAGACATAGTCTAAAGGGGTTAAGGCGTCCCGGGCCAAGGTCAGCAATGCCGGGAATGTGCAAAACGGTGAGTGAGAGCCAGTGAGTGAGCAAGTGAAGTGAGGGTGACGGTGACGGTGAGGGTGATGAGAGGTGTGCGGATGGGGATGGGGATTATACCAGAGTCGACGGCTTCCTCGCCTTCGGCCTTGTAGTACTCGCCAAGACACGCAAGGTGACCCCAGAAGAGGGAGGGCTTGACCCGAGGCAGATGAGCATGTTGCCGAATCCTGTGGTACTCGAGCCGCCGGTAGAGGTAGAAACCCAGCGCGGCGAGGCCAACGCCCACGAGGGCCCAGGGATGCGCCAGGAACATGGTGGCCAAGTTGGAAATTGCCTAAGATCTCAAGGAAGCATTGCTGTGCCGCCGATATGGATATGGAGCTCAGAAAATAAAAGAAAATAACAGGTAAGACGTGTAAGACGTGTGTTACGGGATACAAGGTAAGATACAGAATAAGGTAATGATGCCGTCTGTCTGTTTTGGGATCGATCCCTGGGATGGGGACTGGGGAGAGCTGCGAGAGAAGCCACGGGGAACTGACTGGGACTGATGATTTGATGTAATTAAGCAACCTAAATAATAAGATGAGAGCAAAAGCCTGGTGGGTCATATGTTCTCCTGTTTCGTGATTCGCCCGACTTGAATCCGTATGTACGTCGTATGTACGTTGTATTAGGTATCCAGTCAGTTATTAGTCGTACCCCGTACGTATTGGCGTTGGTTCCTGGCTCGCCTGGGTGACGTTTCAGTATTCGTGCTGGTGTAACAAAACACCGGGATTGATTGTGTTTCCAAAGTTCCCCCCATATGGATGTACATGGACATAGGTATCTTAGGTAGAGGAGAAGTCCGGGCTGTGAATGAACCAACCCCGTTCTATTTTCAGCGGCCGACCCACCGTCGCTTAGAACGCCACGCCGTGAAGACAACAAATCCGTGCTCTCCCCATCAAAGCTCCCCCAATCACTTGGTTCGCCCGTTCTCTCCATACGATGATAAGAGATTCTTGTACAGGGTAGTTATCCATGGAAAAGGACCTTAGATCTTCTGGTCTTCTGTGTCTTCCGTCCCCCTACTAACGAAGAACTCGTCATTGACGTGGGACGTGTACGAAGGGTACGAAGGGTACGAAGGGTACGAAGTAATTAATTAGGTCGGCGATGGTTGTTTTCGGGAAAGTGGGGACAGTGCCCAAGTGGTATCAGAGTAGCGGTACGGATTTGCGAAGTCTTCAACCTTCGTACTCGGCTAGATTTGGGTCCGAGTTCCCTACCTAGGTAGGTATATTAGAGTTGCCGTTAATTTAGGTCCCTCCACCTCCACCGAAGTACCTACCTACCGGACATAGGTACCTACCTTATGTTAGTGTGTCGTGAGTGTCGACTCGTCATCATTCTTGCCAACGGGTGGGTGAATCATGTGCGCTTTTATCTCTTCTTTCATCATCTTCTCCGTCCAAATATTTCACAGCAAGGGATGGAATGGTGCAGCATGTCTGTGTGTGCTCTCGTGGGCCGCATGATGCGGGGGATGCCAGCCCGACCTTGCATCTTAACTGCTCTTTTCCCTCTGTTTCCGTATCTTATATTGCCTTATTAACCACACCATAGTGCGACGGGGTGTCCCGGGCTCTTGGGGGGGGGGGCGTGTCCACAGCCCGGCAACCGAAGACTCGGAAGACCATCCGCGGAGCGACGCGTGCCCTATCAAACTCTTGTTTCCCGTCCCTACCGACAGCATGCAGGAAGCTTCAGTGTGACCAACCCGTCATAACGTGCATCTTTCCTTCGGCCCCCAATGACCTCTTCACATGCCGTTGGTCCTAATTCGTCGTACGAAGCGGGAGTACGAAATAATTAGAGACCACCGAAGATACCCATCCAAGCGCGTACGTTCTACAGCCCAACAGTCGGATAGGACAGAACCAGCGGGGTCTAAACGGTTGTGTCCCGTTGTTGTTCGAAATACGTCCTCGATTCGTGGGTGAGGAACGCAAGGTCTAGCCCTATCCGATGCAGACCCGTACCCAGTTCTGATCCTTCTCGGGCCTTGTGGATTCCATGCCCATGTGCCCAGACCAAACGTCCCTCGTATCTTCTTTTTTGTGTTTGAGCCTTGAAGGCTCACTCAGTCTGATATCCTCGTGATTTTCATGAGACCGTTGAGAGATAAATAACGCGTGAGGTATGCCCACCTGCAGTCTTCACCATCGGCTGGTCACCTCATCCGCCTCGGTCAACTTCCGTGGTAATCCCTTGATTATTACGGACTAATAATTACCACACGCACTGTGTTCCCATCACTCCACAGCGCGTCTTGGCAATTCGGCAATCAGTATACCACACATGTCGCCAGCTGCCTCGATAAAGCTATCACTGTCGCTGACAGGAGAGATAGGGTCCAGTCGTCCCAGCTGCGGCCCTGTTGGCCAGGACGTTTGCATTCAAAGTTCATAATAAAGGTGTCGTTTGTATTCGTATCGAATCGTCTGATGAGATAAAAAAAATCCAGTCTGTGTCCTCATTCTTCTCGATGGCAACATCAACTCAAATCTCCAACAGCCTTGATCTCTGCGGAGAATCAATCGGTAGTACTGGATATAGATAAGAGCCAGTCATTAGGAAACGAGATTTTTGCTTCGAAATCGTCGAAACGGCCGGAATCGACGTCCGGTCAGGGAAAGTTGAGTTGGACAACTGCCCCCGTTTCTGATTAAACGGCGCCGCTCCAGTTTAGTTAGTGGCTCACTCCGCCCATCCTGATGCTCAATGGCTCGAAAGACGGCATGGTCTGAAAAACGACTGGATCAATAGCGAACGCGTCTGGTCCAAAGCTTTCCACAAACGGGAGATGCTGAAGATTCGCGGGCGACATATAGGGTTGGTTCGCCTCGGTAGCCGGCACTGATGGGGAGACGTCGAGGTAACCTCCCGAAGGAACACCAAAAGCTGACAGCGGAGGCGTGGCTGGTGCGTCGGCCAGGCCCACTCGATCCGGGTTGATGCCCAGATCGCTGAGCTCTTGGGCGATCAGATTGAGCGCACTTGCAATAACTGCACCGATGTAAGCGTGGTCAGGTTCATGAGTCCTTGGAGTTGGGGGGGGTTTTATTGAGAGGAAGAGGGGCAGACGTGTAGACATACCCGGGTTGCCCTGTTTGAGCTGGGCAAGCGTACGGACACAGTACTCCAATCGGCGCAGTGCCTGCGTATCCTCGACGTTGGATTGTACCTGTAGAAGGAAAATGGAGGCCGAGATATAAACACCGTAGGACAGTGACAAGTCGCACTGGACGATTCCGAACGATCTACAAAAGAGGTCGAAAAGTGCCACGATGGTGGTCGCCGAAGTCACGCACCCCAGGAGATAGTGCTCGATTGGCTTCAAGCCGTCTTCGGCGGTTCTAGTCCGCTGCGAGAGCATTGGACGGTAAAGAAGAACCTTGAACGTGTGATAGAGGGAGCTGGGGGGTTTTTTTTTCGTCGTGTCAGACGCTTCAGAGCATTTGGTTGGGACCAGCACAGGGCGGCTCACTTCAAGGTTATAATGTGCGAAGGGGGCGCCAACGACGGCAGAGACTGGGGTTCAATGCGCAGATGAGTTGGTAACTCTTTCCACCAGTCCTGCAATGCGACTTCTTGATCTGCTAGGCATTCCTGCATCTCCACTTGACTGTTGGGCCGCACAGGGTCGTACATGTGAACCAAAATCTCGTTGAAGATCTGTGCAAGCTGGCACATATTGGTGAAGCAAGAGATCGCATGTGCCGGCGACGGTGGGTATTTCCAGCCTTCCTCGTGGGCCACACCAAATGGAGTCCACGACTCGGTCTCGGAAGAGTCATCGACTGCTTTCCCGTCAGTCTTTCGATTTCGTGGGGTGGAAAAGAGGTGGCCCGGTCAGACCGGGCAAGTCTCATGACTTCTCATGACTTACACATGATCTGCGGCGGCGACACAGACGTATGCTGCAAAGATGGAGTACGTCCTAGATAGAGGCTAATCATCTTATCCCAGAAATAGCAGCTCCAGAAGATGCGATGGCGAATTTCCACGTCTTCCTCGCTGAGTTGGACGGAGCCAGGGTATCTCTGTCCGTCGACACAAATACCAAGATGGTCGACGATGCGAAAGGCGAGGCCACTGTATGTCCAAGCTTGGGCACTGTTGCCGACACTGCACTCCTGCGCGCTTAAGAGCAGCAGTGTCTGGACAGTGGGAATGGAACTGATGCCCTGGCTCAACTCGCCGAAGACCATGCTACGTGCATGTTTGCCAAAAAGCGCACCGCCTTCATAGTGATCGTCGAGAAGTTTCCGCGTTGTTGGGTTATGTCTACCCCAACGAATCGAGTGTGACAAGATAGCGTTCATCAACGTATGGGAGTAATACGGACCCAAGGTCTGCAAATCACCTGGATGAAATCAGCTAGGAGAAATTACCAATGACGAGGCCGAGGACGTAGGATATTGGGGCGGAGGGGGACGCACGGGTGAATGCTGGGCGGTAGATGAAGTTGAATAGTGGCTGGGTCCAGGACCAAAGCACGTTTAGGAGATAATGGAACGGCTCCTACTGGGGTCATCAGCCGAGTATGGGAAAAGCAAAGTCACAGGAGAGGAGAGGCCGAGTTCTGTCCCGGGTTGGGCTCGGATTGGGGCTCCGGTTGGACTGACGGGAATGTCCGACAATTTCTCCAAGGCGCGTTGCTGCCATGCGTTGGCAACGAGGCGCTCCCTTCGCTGTGTAGCTTCCGCAGAAGACGAAGCTAAGCCGCGAAACCCGGGTGGGCGGTCGTCGGGGAGCTGGAAGAAGCTGGTAGCGCCGTGGTAGGTGATGCTGCCTTTGTCGTCGACGGTGAGGCCTTGAAAGCTCTCACTGACGAAGTCCTCGTAGCCTGGTTCGAGGACGACAGGGTCAGGCGTCAGGGAAAGGCTCCGTGACGTGGAGGGCGACGTCTGCTGGAACCGATCGGCCGGACTGGGAATGTCGGATTTGACCATGGCTAATTGAGCCTCAAGGTCCTTGATACGCTGCTCCAGGCGTGAGGTGTATGACAGAGTTGGGTTCCTGTAATAGGATTTAACCATGTCAGTATGTGGGCTTCCCGCCGAGTCGCAGCCTAGCAGAAAGAAGTTCACACGGGTGAGCCTAGCCAGAGGGGGAGAAAAGACGCTCGGCGACTGGTAGCAGTCGAGGATCGATATCCGCTTAAAGCTTGACTCGCTGGAGTCGGCCTGGCTGGCCGGCTTTGGTGAACTTATTTGAGCCTCCGCAGACCATCCTGAGCTGGGCCTCTCGCTTACAACTTGTACACACAGTCCTCAAGGCGGGCGGCGCATCGGTTGCATGTTGGCTGCTCGCCGCCACACTTGACCTGTAAATGCCGTGGAGCGAATGTCTCCCGATCGTTAGCTTAGTGGATGAGCGAAGCCACGGTGTCCATGGGGGAGGGAGGAAGGTGGGGTTGAATTCACGGACCTTGCGTCGACGGCATGGTTCACACGAGAATGCGCTCTTCTTAAGGGTCCTCATTCAATGGAAGAGTTTCGACGATGGCACACGGTAGGGGAGAGAAAAGGGGGGTGGGGGGGGGAGAAAGAACGAGGACTATCCGTATATTTGATGGTCGCAGTTCGCGATCGCGGGGCAGCCGTTCAAGAAGAAAGAGCTCCTTGACCAAGTGCCTGCAAGTTACCCCACGCTTATTATTATCTTGAACCGACGGACGGGTCACTCCTTCCTCAGCGCCAGGGCCCCGCCAACGATGAGGGGTACTGCGGTGACACGTCGGGGAGCACAGTCCTGCGCACGGTGAAGACGATGAGTTCCGCGATATCAACTACCTTAATAAGGTAAGGTATGCACCTTATTCGTATGCGTACTTCGCAATTACCTACTTTGCACGAAGATCCGTAAAACCCCCACCTTCCAGGACATGTGACAGTAACGTATTGCGCATGTTCCACGGTGGACTGTACCTCGACTACGAAGGAATTTTAATGACTCTAGATGCGTACTTGTATATGCTGTTTTGACGGTGATGGATGTTGTGACTTCGGGGCTGTCTAAAGAATTGGAATCACAACCCGTTGCTGCGAGTAAGATGACCGGCCATCATTCTAAACAAAGATTCGCAAAATTGAATGCCCCAGATGACAGGATTTGACTCAAGATGGAAAGGAAACTAACAAAGATAGATTACATGTTTTGGCAAGCAGGTATAACGAGAAATGGAACTACGGAAGATACTTATTCACAACCATTGCCATGTTCTGCATCGAAATGCGAACTGAACGACGAATTATGGCCAAGAAACATTCTTCTTCGCAAACAGGAACCAGTCCTGCAAACAATGAAAAAAGTAGAAAACACGCCTGTCAGACGTCCATCAGCACCCACCCTGCTCGTACGCCCGAAGGCAAGACCACAAGACAGGGTCGAGATCATCAACCGCCCTCTATACAGCACAGCAGAGCTATGCCGCCACCTTTGCAGGCAGTGCGAGAGCAACCAGAAAACTTCACTCTAGGGTGCCGAGGATATCTATCATCAACCAGGGTGGGATCTGTGGCTCTTTTGGAGAACCCAGAGTGGGTCGAATACTATAGAAATGATTCTCCTGAAGAAGGGGGGGAAGTATGTTAGCAAACTGTTAATCCTGAAAGATTGTTTGTGGAAGTGTTGATTGCTCCTGTTGGGGGGTGGCTTACTGAAGTATTGTCGACATGAAGAAAGAAAGAAGAAAAAAAAAGACTAAAGGGTGGGAGGGTGGCCGTTACTTTATACTCGGCTGGCTGGCGCAGGGGCCACTTGGGGCCTGTGGGATCAGTAACTGCTGTAGCCAATGAACTTCTTTTCCCGAAAAGAAATTAGCTGCGTGTTCGAAAAACTTCGAAAAACGGGGTACGAGGTACGTACCCCTGCAACCGTACCTCGGACTCAAAAATTTCTTTGATGAGCCTATCCACCTTTCCACATGCCGAACGAATCAACTTGAACAACAATACCTGCCTGAGGATAGGGTTCAGGAATCGGTGATATTTTTGCTCGCCGACTTGGCTAGCAACGTCTTGGCCCCGTTGCTTTGACCGCTCTCCCGCCGTCCGGAGATTTCGCAAGACCGGAAGACCGACAATACCAAGGTAGCCATTGGTCTCCATCGAAGATAGCGGAGAGGGCAAAATTTTGCAAAGTGAAATGAGCGGATTTGGACGGTTCCAGGCTCGTGGGAAACCATGAACCGTGGAGAATCTTTCACTCAGTCCGCTCGGCATCGGGGCCCGGATTGGCTCGTTCATGACTCTGTCCTTGTCGTATGTCTAGCGGTGAAGGGAGCAGAGCTTTCCGGTCGGTGATTGAGCTCTGGGCCAAGACGGTAAGAAAAATTCATGCAATGGTAGGTAGATTCTATGGAAATTTTGTATTGGGAAAGGCTGGATTGCAGTAAGTAGACTTCACATGCTTCTCGATACTCGCGATTCTCCAATCTTCACGCTGGTGGTCCCGTTTTCAAGCAGATGAACGCCCTTGGTCTCTTCGTGATACAACACATGCACTGGTCTAAGGCATTGCTCCAAAAAGACCCAAAGCCGGGCCGTTCACAGACTCCATCCTATGCCGAGAACGACCGGGCTTCAGAGGGCAACCAATGGCCGTGTCTCGGTGTCGTCCCTCCCGAATACCGAGTCAAAAAAAAGACGTTCACTTCTCTTCGGCATACAGCCTCTCACTTATCACAAACACCTTCACTCGTGGACTAACCAACTTCTCCAGCGCGGCGCCATCCCCAGACTTTGCTGCTTCTCTGACCTTCGTGCTACTCACAGCCTCTTCATCCCCATCTACCAAATCCACCCTATCACACCACGCCGCTAGCCCACCGACGTCTTCGAGCCCTCCGTCCCGCAGCCCCTCGACGTACGCCAGCTGATCCTCTCTCCCACCCCAGGCGTCGTCCGTCCGCATCGTGATCCGCAGCCGCGAGCGGCCTAGGAACGGTTCGAGGGCCTCGCGCATGCCGCCCGCGGCACCGTAATACTTGGGGTTGAAGATGCGGATCAGAGTGTCGTAGCCCGCAAGGAAGACCTGCTCCGTTTGCGAGGGGTACAGCCCCGACTCGGCGATCACCCGGCTCTTCTCGTGGAAGTATGGTCCGGTCGTGAGGCCGAGGTCGATGGTGAGCCCTTCGGCGTGAACATCCTCGGTTGACGAGGACGAGGTCAGAGTGGTGATGAGATCCTGGGCGAATAGCTGCATCATAGCCATCCGGAGCGGGAAGGCGGCCGGCTTGGGGGCCTTGTCGGCGTTGTTGACGGCTAGGAGCAACAACAGACGGGCGTCATCTGCCAATTTGGCTTTCGTTGAGCGGATGGCTGAAGCGGCCATGCGCATGTGAGCCAACGTTGGCGGGTTAAAGGATGAATCCAGAACGAAGAGAGTCCTCGGTGACTGCTGTTGGAGATCCGTTGCAATCGACGGTGCTGGTGGTATGTGGGAGATGTATTCCCCATATACCCCGCCAGTACCCGCTGTCACCTTTGAAAAGATGCAGAATGCATCACCGCTTCTCTGGAAAGAGGACAGCTGTTGTGCGCAGATATTGATGAGTTCTTGACGAGCGGCTTCCGAGTTGACAGACATCTTCGCATCCCACGTCCTGGTGAAATGGCTATTCCGAAAATCGTGCTGCTGAAACTGTGATGTGGAGGAAACGATCGACGTAGTTGAACAAGGTGGGACGATGACCGTGTCCGCTCGCACTCCCACTGTACCACTGGCTACGGCTATCCGGTAGCGTAACAACTCTCTTTCCGACTCGTCGAACCTTTTGCATCGAAGGCACAGAAGAAATAAAGAGTAGGCTAGAGGCGAGTTTGTCGTAATCTGTAGCTGGTAGGTATTACGTGCGGTTTCAGCCATCACGGAGGCGGCCAAGAACACATGGCGCAGCAGGTTCATACTCTTGTCACGCCAGCGCGACCTCTGCGATGTGTTTAGGAGCAGTCTGGAGCTCTCCAGGTCGCCAAGAGCCAGATATAGGGCAGGGAAATGTGCTCTTCACTTTACCTTTACACGCGAGTCAGTTCAAACGAGTTGGTGATCAAAAGACCCATAATATTACTTATCACTAAGGTACAGTACATTCGGTCTCTTGAGATTGTTGACAAACACCACCCCTACATTGCATATTCCTCACGAGGATTATTACGCCGGGAATAGATCACAGCCAACTTTCCAACAATGGGAGCGAGTACGGTGACTCCAAAGATGAAAACAGCAGCACGGTACTCTACCATCCACGTTGCCTTCATCTTGCCCTGAATCTCCTCTAGCCTTTCGGCCAGCCTCTCTCGCCCAAAGTTCGTCTTGACCCTCTCGGCTCCCGCTTCGCCCATGCGCCGCAGCTCCTCCTTGCTCGTCTTGTTGAGCACCTGCTCGATGACCTCCGCCCACTGCGCCACGTCGCCAGGCTCCCGCAGCCAGCCCGTCTCGCCGTCCACCACGGTCTCCCGGGGACCTCCAGTGTTCGCAGCGAGCACGGGCACGCCCGACAGCATCGCCTCAAGAGGCACGATACCGAAGTGCTCGTTGGAGGGCGTGTACAGGAGGAGCCTCGCCGAGCGTAGCAGCGACGCCTTCAGGGCCGAGGGCACCGAGAGGAGGAAGAGGATCGGGATATTACGCGGCGCCGAGAGTGCCGTAATGATGTTCTTCGCCGTGAAGGATTCCAGGCCCAGCGACTTGGCCAGGTCGACCAGCTCACGGTGATACTCGAAATTCTCGGTCGAGCGCGGGTCGTAGCCGCCGGCGATGACGAGGCGGACGCCCTTGCGCTTTTCCTTGGTGAGGAAGGCGAACGACTTGATGGCGAGGGCGATGTCCTTTTTGCGCTCGAACCGGTTAATGCTGAGGATGATGTTGTCGTCCCGCCAAACCGCGTCGTCATCTCCCCCCTCGTCTTTAGCCGGCTTGGCGGGATGTTCCGGCGCAAGGTCGACGCAGGGGTAGACTACTTTGAAATCGCGCCGCTTAGCCAGCGAAGGCCACGTGTACGTAGCGACGCTCTTTGTAAACTCGGAATTGACCGCGATTTCGGCCGCGAAGCCCATGCTCCAGGCCTCGAGCCAGTCGAAAGGCAGGCGATAGAGTCGTTTCCACCAATTCTGGCGACCTTGGGCCAGGAGCATGTCGGGGAAGTGGCAGTAGAAAAAGATGGGGGTTTCGGCGTAGAAGTATTGCAGGACGGGCAGGCCGGCGCTCAGCTGGTCGACGAAGAAGCTGTCTGGTCCTATGCCGCGCACCTCTCCTGTCAGCCAGGTTTGCGTGATGAGCTGGAGCTGACGTAGAATGGCGCAGAGGACCGTAAAGCGGGAGAAGATGGACGACGGGATGGGCCAGTTACCGCGAACGCGGACATCGAGGGTTCCTAAAGATGATCGAGTCTGTCAGGGGAAAAAATTGCTGCAACAAGTATTGTATGGGATTCTGCACCCACCATCGCGTGCTTCCTCGAAGCAATGACTCTGGTCGCAATGGCTGGTGAAGATGACCACTTTGTGACCGCGATTCTGCAAACCCAGCGCGGCATCAACAACAAGACGCTCGGCACCACCGATTCCAAGATCGGGGTGAAAGAAGACGACTGTCTTCTTTCTGTCTGATATGCTTTCCATGTTCTGTGTCGTGATTTGGGGGTTGAAGCTCTCCTACAATCAGGAGACCTTTGGGTGGAGGAAAGAGGCGAAGCGAAGGAACTACGTGTAATATGTATACCTACATACCTGGACTTGGATTCCCTTACTCCATGCGGATAGACGGCGCGTGGGCGGTGGGGTAAGAGACGTTGCACGTTAGGGCCATGAAATGCTAAGGCCCGATAATCCGGCAGGCTCTTGTGGGACCTATTAGTAATCCATTCCCGTTAGGCTGGTGCCCCTGTGGCTGGGCAAAGCCGACTCGAAAACGTTCGTGGTCCAGGCCTTGGTCACATTACCGCCTCTTGCTTCATGTTCGGCGTCGTTTGAGTCGCATTAACACTGTTTCGCCGCCCCGGAGCGGCAAGTCGTTCTTTACCGTACAAATACATTCCTTCTTTGCGACTCGACGTCGCCTGCCACTCTTTCAGCCACCAATGCGCCAGGTCGCGGTGTTGACCGCGCTCCTTTGCGCCATATGGACCGCGCCCGTTTTCGGCGATGACAGTAACGACGGCAAAGTGACCATCTGGGCGACTCCCCACGAGCAATATTCCTCCTCCGTCGGCGTCCTCGGCTGCAAGATCGACACGAACCGCGTCGCCTACTGGCCCGCCGCCATCGACTGCTCCAACATCTGCGTTGAGCTCTCCCACGCCGGCCGCTCCGTCAAGCTCCTCCGCATCGACCAGTCCGAGGGCGCCTACGATGTCAGCTACGATGCCTGGAACTACCTCTATACCGGGGAATCCGCCCGCGACAGTCCAGCCATGGGAGGCCAGGTCGAGATGCAGTACCGAATCCTCAGCGCGTCGGCCTGCGCCGACCTACTCGATGACGGCGCGTTACCCCTCAGCGCGCCCAACAGCATGAACTTTCTCGCCAGCTGTCTGGACCGGCCCGACAGCTGGGTGTCCGAGAACTACGTCCTGTACAACGTGCTGGACAGCATCTGCTCGCTCGGTCGCGTGGAGGAGTGCACCATCGACTGGCCCGCTGCCAACCAGCCCGATTGTCCGAACATGCTTGGCGAACCTGTCGTTCTGACGTCGGCCCCGGTGCACAACATCCAGTACGGGACGGGCGAGTTGGTCCTTGCCTCCTCGGGAGAAATAGTGGAAGATTCAGGCGCCGGGAACCGAGGCGGTGGCGCCATCTTTCTGGAGTCCCATGCGAGGCTTGCTAGCCCGATGGGATTGTTGTTATCTTTCTCCTTGATATTTCTCATATACCCCTTGATTCTGTTCTAGTGGATATTCAATCGTGCGACAGATGAAGACAGCACAGTATCTCTGCCTAGTTATCATCGCAGCCGGTATTTGAAAGTGTATATTCGCCGTGTTGTCCAGAGTGTGGGGAGAGCGTAACAGAGAAGGTGTCTAGACGTCAACTTCCAGTCGAGACGCTGACACCGGTTTTCAGTGATATAAGAATGTCCCATGCGACGAGCCTACTCGGTTGGTCTCGGCGAGGTTTGTATGATGAGAAGTACAGTTGTATGTCGCGGGGGAGAAAGGCAAGGTTTCGGGTCATCCCGAGACCGTCGACATGCGGCGTGTGGGGATCCCGCCCAGATGACGACAGACAGTGGACTACAAGATGCTAAAGATAAGACAGACTAGGTACTGTAAATGTTCTCTTATCAACATACGGTGCACCTCACGTGATTTTTCCTTGGGATTCTTTTTTTTTTTTTTTAATTTTTATAGGTTTTCTCTTATCATTTCCCGCCATTATTATTAATAATTTTTACCCCTCAATTTTTTTTTTTCGTTTTTCCTTTTTCGTTTTTCCTTTTTCGTTTTTCCTTTTTCATTTTCCCTTATTCCTTAAACTTTTTTTCTTTTTTTTTTTCTCTTTTTTTTTTCTCTTCTTTTTATATATATATAAAAGAAAAGAACCATCTTTCCCTTCCATTATTTGGACGTGGCTCAAATCCAAACGGTTCTTTATGGCTTATCACTTGTCGTGTCGTGATCCGAATCAAGATTGGGACAGGTGTGGGGTGGGAGTATCCAACATACCAACTCCCAAAGCAAATGATAAAAAGGAAAGAAGATAAACATAAAATGGATTTCGAGAAACAGAGCTACTGGCACGAGCGGTTTTCGCACGAGGAGTCCTTTGAATGGCTCGTCTCCTCGTCGGATTTCATGGCCGTCATCGACCCGCTACTCCCGAAGCCACCGGAGACGGCCCGGATCTTGCAGCTAGGCTTCGGCACGAGCGACCTGCACACACATCTGCGTCGCCGCGGCTACGAAGATGTCACCAACGTCGACTACGAGCCGCTGGCCGTCAAACGGGGCACGGACTGCGAGGAACGGGCCTTTGGCGACGTGCGCATGAAATACGTCGTCGCCGATGTGACCCGACTCGAAGAGGACGGCGTTTACGACCTGGTCATTGACAAGAGCACCGTCGACGCCGTGTCCTGCGCCGGCGGTGAGGCGTTCCAGCTCATGGCAGAGGGCGTGAAACGGAGTCTCAAGCCCGGCGGCGTTTGGATTTCTCTTAGCCTCTCGGCTCTACGGTTTAGTGCAGCGGATCTGCCGTTTGAAGTGGAGGTTTTCCATCGGTTCCCGACGCCCAAGTTGAAACCGCATGATCCAGATATCTTCAACTTTTGTTATCTTCTGCATCCCAAACCAGCATCGCCTGGAGAATTGCAGCCTCGACGGTCTTCCTTCATGATGGGCCTTGGGGAGGCCGGAGCTGTCTCATCAGGCTTGAAAGTGTAGAGAGAGAGTGAGAGAGAGGCGTGTGAGAAATAGGAGAGATGGAAACACGCAGCAGGTGGTCTTGCTCACTCTTGCAGGGATATTGAGCACTTGGCAAGAGAGACAGGAGGAAACATACGAGGAACCGCTTGGTTGTTTGACGCAGACGTCTCAACAACAACGCCCCATATATCCATCATCTTGTTTATTTCGGCACAGTCACGCGGTCTGGGCGGTCTCAACGGTCTGACGGCGCTGGTGGCAGGGCAGAGCAGAGGACGGTCTGAGCGATTGTCTCCCAATTTGAACCAACCAACCCCTATGTAATAGGGGTCTCGACAGCCAACTGGGTCACACACACCGACATCCTCTCTCGAGGAGTCGGTCTATGGATACTTTTAGCCCCTTGGATTGATCTGGATCTCCATCTATACTTTTCATGTTGTGATTGATCTATATACACATCTTAGCTCGGCGGTCATCAGGGCCCTGTCGTTCATCCGCCCTGAGACGACACTCGGAGCAAGTCCATTGGTATGAATAGAGCTTCCACGATCAATGACATTGAGGTCAAGTTAATATGGTAACTACTTCGTATTCATTCACTGGTAATTACCCGGGCCACCAGTGATCTCCTAATTTTTTGATTAGAACGTAATTATGTACTGACTCGGGAAAGAATGGCGCTAGGAGCCTTTCATTATTATTACACGCGTGGCAAACGTGCACGAGCATGCGTCCTTACAACGTAGTAAGTCGCAGGGGGAAGTTGACACGAGAGGGGCGTCCGGTAGTTGACATGGATCGTCAGGGGGGGAACACAGCGGCCTTGTGGGGCTTGCATGGGGGAGTGGTGGGGAGGGGTCCATTCCTCGGGCATTTACTGGGACCCAACCACACAGCTATTAGTTTCATTGTCTCAAGACTGGATGTTTGGTCTCAGTTGGGCGATCATGATGAGCCGGTGGACAAACGCCACACCAAATTGGGAGTTAACTACCAGGGGTCGGAGACCCATTTTATCCAGGGAGACCGGCGACAACACAGCGTCATACATACAAATTGACAGGCGATGTATTCGTACAGCCCAGGCCAAGATAATCGCCGGTGCCACAAATAGGAGGTCTTGACCGGATATGGGGAGGATCAGCGTATAGCATCTGAGCGTGGTAGCACCGTCGTGACCATGATAACAATCCATAACACCAACCCCACGCTTGGGTTGCCATATCTGATATGGCGCAGCATTGAAGTCAAATGATTAATGGGAACTGGATGATCATTTCTGGGGATTGACAACGGGCATCAGCCGTTATCTATCATCTCATTGGGATCAACACACCAGCTCCAAGACTATCGCAATGGGGGTCATCCACGGCCTCCCCCTCATGGGACGAGTCAAGAGCAGTTCTGTGAAATGAGCCAGGTGAATGAATAGCCCCTGGAACCCGCTCTCTCCTTGGCTGGGGATTTCTTTGACTGCCGACGACCAAGAAACACAGGCATGGGCCCCATGCTCACACATGACATATTGCACGAGCTCTGTCTTGACGTCCCTATCACCCTAGCTAGATGGTGAAGTAATGCCACCGACTCGCAATTTCGGTCAATTAAACTCGAGTCCACCGTCATGGTACAGGGCTAGAGGGAGGCGTAGGGTGCGAGCACGGGGGAAGAGACGGCGGTGAATGAAAGCAGCCTGAAAGCAGCCTGAACAACGTCCTGGTCGAGGCTGTCAGCGGTCTGTCTGCGTATATATAACCTCATCCTCTTCGTTGTGTTAGCTTTTCTTTCTCTCTCACCAGCATCAGCTCTCAGAACAACCACATTCTTTACTTACACTCTTTAATCTTAATCATACTCCAACTCAGTCACTCCTTGTCTTTGCACATCTATTTCCATCTTTGCTCCATCGTTTTACATACAACGACCTACCTAATACCGACAAAATGAAGTTCACCGGCTTTTTCGCTGCTGCCCTCGCCTTCGGCACCGCCCTGGCTGCCCCCGCCCACAGCGTCTCGGATGTCCAGGCGCTCCAGAAGCGCTCCGAGTGCTCCCAGAACTCTGGCTGCGCCCTCAACACCGTCCTGACCACCGTGGAGCACCTCAAGGCCACTGTCAAGTCCGAGATTGAGCTCATCAGTATGTCCATGCACTTCTCCTATTCCTCCTGCCATTATCTTACCCAGTCTAACCGATTTGCAGCCACCACCGTCTCTGGCGCCAATGGCAATGATCAGGATGTTGTTCCCATCATCAAGGTCGCCCTGACCACCATCACCGGCGAGATCCAGGTCGTCACCGGCGAGCTCCTGCCCCTTGTCCTTGGACTTGGCGACAAGCTCACCAAAGCTGAGCTTTCCCTTGTGCTTGAGATCCTGGCCGACCTCAAGGTCATCGTTGGAGATGTCAAGGGCTGTGTCACCGATCTCACCGCCAACCTCAGCGTCGGTAAGTAACTATCCTTCTGACCCTGTTTGCCATACTGCAATAGACTCACAGTTGCTCTTTTCTACAGAGATTCTCCTTGAAATCGAGCTTGAGATCAAGGCCCTGCTCGGCTGCCTCGGCCCTCTCGTCACCCCTGTCCTGACTCTTGTCTTCGGCCTCGTCGGCAAGCTCGGCATCCATGTCACTGGCCTTCTGAAGCAGGTCCTGACTATCGCTATTGGCCTCAAGGTTACCCTGTCTGAGATCCTCGCTCCCGTCACTGGCCTTGTTGGCTGCCTCCTTGGCAAGGTCCTCGGCCAGGCCCTGTAAGCTTGCCCTTGGAACACCACACATACCCAGCCAACCATGACAACCATATTTGGGCGTTCTTTGTAAATAGGTTTTTGCATCCAATGATGTTTTGACGGGTTTTCACCGCTGGTTCTTCGCGGCATTCTGGCAAGGCGTTAGACAGACATCAATTAGAGACCCTGGTCGTGTTGACGATGGAAGTATCTTTCCCTATCAGATTAAAGTTGTGATATTTGAAGTCCTTATCAGGACTGTGACTTCCCATATCTCCCATACCTGTTATTTTGACAATGTGCACCGACTTCAGCACTTCCCAGAAAGTTCACTTTAATTCAAAACGTGCCTCCTTAATTCGCTTTAAATCCCTTAAAAACCGACGCAACTCGGTCTTGCATTTTGGCAGTTAAGTCATTAGCTGTTGCAGCCTCGTAGGCTAGGCGGTAGACATGCAACGCTTCGGAGAACAGGGTCCGCCTGTCACGCCACCCTGTAACACGGCGCAACTTATCTGAGCCCGTCCACTGAGGAAAATCAATGAGGAAAGGAGGCCAGGGATTATGCTCAGGCTTGATCTCGTCGGGCCTCACATACTTGAGCCCTCCCTTGATCCCATACTCCTGAACGAGGGCCCGCACGACTTGATCCACCGTCTCGTAGCGGTGGGCAGAGACGTTGAATACCTGGCCGGCAACCTCGTCTCGCCGCGGATGCTCCGCGAGGGCAACGTAAGCATCTGCGCAGTCGTCGACGTGCAGAGCATGCAGGACGTAGTTTGGGTCAGCAGGCACAATGAGGCCGGAGTTTTCCGTCCCGGCGGCGGCGACCTGGGATGCGACTTGGAAGAAACCGGCGTAGAAGCTCGAGGACCGGCCGTACACGTTGGTGGGCCGAAGGAGAACGGGCGCCAAGAGGTCCTCGTGGTCAAAGATGCGGGCGGCGTTTTCGGCTCTCCCGGCAAGGGGCGGCGGCGGGTTGCGGGGAGACTCCTCGGTATGGGGGACCAGGTCTGGGGCGCCGTGGATGTGAGGACCTACTCCGTAGTCCTTGCAACCGGAGGTGAAGAGGAGAAGAGGTTTCGGGGCCCCGGAGGACACGGTGGGCTGCGCGAGCGTGCGGACCAAGGTCACGAGGTTGGTATAGTGGGGAAGGTAGTTGAAGGTCACTTCAGTCGTCGAGACGATGGCATCGAGGGGCACCGGAAGGTTTGCTAATATGATCTCGTGGGAAGATGGGTCGTCGATGGCGCCCACGACGGGGATAATCTCCTCGCCGGCGAGGGCGGAAGCAGAAGCGGGCGAGCGGATGAGGCCGTAGGTAATCCAGCCGGCACGAACAAATGCACGAGCAACGGCGTTTCCAATGTAGCCATTGGCCCCGGTGACGAGGACTGACCGGGCCATGTTTTTGCGCCAGTGATCAACAGACGAGAAGGGTCGGTCGGGCTGGCCGATATATAAAATACCAAGATTGCGATCCTTCGTAGATGTCGAAGACCTCAAGCCTGATGTGTCGACTCAAGTACCGCGGAGGAGGTGTGGAGGGAAGTTATGATCCTAGAGATCAATGGGGAGAAATGTATTGGAAGTTGGGAAGGGGGGTTGGCTAAGGCTAACGCATGGTTTGAAAGACGACATGGGGTCAGCCATCGAGGGTCTTGTAGAGGCTCCATGGGACGTGAGGTTATGAATTAGTAATAATTCGGGGAATATTCATGATGCTGACGAGGTCGAACTCTACGACGGAGGTATTTAGAAGCAAAGGTAGATGGAGGTCGGGCGCGATGTATTACATAAGCAAGTAGTTCCATAAGGTACCTTAGCTCGTGTCAACCTCATACTACCTAGGTAGGTAATAATTAACATGTGGCTCTGATTATCAAGTGTCCAGTCCTACTGCGTATAGACGTGGTTTATATTGGTTTATCTGGTAACCAGTATCCCTCCTTCTAAAAAGGAGCCGCGCCTTGCAGATGTGGCCATATACTAAGCTCTTTTCATTGACCGACTAATAAAGATTGCCCAGGGGGGTCAAATGATCACGACATAGGACGCTCCGGACCACCCTATGGAGTGACTATGGACAGTAGGCCGCTAGCATAATTTTGGCTAGGCCAGCACGGTCATATGCGCCGATAAGGACGCCTGCCTAGCTTAGGCACTCCTCACTCCTACCCTACCCCAGGTGCACAAAAGTGGACGAGATTGCAAGGCCTATTCAGTATGACTCGAGAATGAACATGCCTCCATCCTGGCAAGATTCGTTCTTGATTAACTTAAAGCATAAGGTAGCCAGGAACCAAGGTGTAGAAACGCTTAAGGTAGGCCTTAGGTGCCTTTGGTGCCTTAGGTACCTTGACTAAAAATAGTCCAGAACCTCGGTTTCGTACACGGTGGGTGGAACCCACTTCTCATTATGATCACGTGACGGCGCTCATATCATTTGAGTACCTAGGTATATTCGTAGTCTCCAGGCAACTTCTTCCTCACAACCCCCTATAATAAAGTAATAGGTAGTTTGGGGGACTAGATGTATTACTTCGTAGTGGAGTACCATACCTAATCATGTGAGAGAGGTCTCAACGGGGTCGCAACAGGGACAGGGGGCTGGTGGAGACGGAGGAACCTAAGGTAAGCTCATATAACAAGTTCTCACTGCCCCTGACCTCTCTTCTCTCTCATTCTCAGTCCCCGTTTTTCGTGGTCATCCTTTTCCGTTGCCAATTTCTTTTCTTTTCTTTTTTTTGTAGTTCGTCTCGTCACCATGGGCTCATGGGACTGTTACTGTGCCATTTGTGCCGGCCCCATAGGCAGGGCCAGAATCGCCAAGCGATCTCGTCGTGCCGAAACCGGTGAAGAGAACATTCCGACACTTGAAATGCCTGATACACTTATCGAGCTTCCCGCGGAGTATGAGCGCTGGTTGGATGATAGCGATCATAGCGACGACTGGGATGAGGATGAGGAGGACGACCAGGAAATGACGGACATCGAGGATGAAAACGAAAACGAGGTGGAACCTGAAGGGGAGGGAGGAGGAGAAGGGGAAGCCCAAGTGACGGAAGAAGGCGTGATTACATCTGCTGTCTCGGTGGACAACGAGGTTGAAGACCGCGGCGAGGGGGAGAAAAAGAAGGAGGAACAAAAGGAGGAAGAGGAGGACGAACAAGACGAACAAGGCGAAGAGGACGAAGACGAGGACAGATTCGGAGACGACTTTGATGGCTACGATCCCGCAGTTCTTCGCCGCCGAGACAAAGCGTGGGCAACAATGTGCCACGTCCTGGGGTTCAACTCGAAAGCACCAGGCACCAGCAAGTATGATGTTATTCCTCGTCCTTCCCCTTCCGATCCCGTCCCATCCCTCCTCCCATCATCACAATCACGCCTGCCCGCCAAGCGACTAATCTTCTACTGCGTGTGCGCCCTCTCTCTCCTCCCGACCACAGAGCCTTCGTCACTGGTCCTGGCGTCTCCCAGGAGTACGGCGGCATCGACGTCCAGCTAGGCTCCGACCCTAATGCCCAAGACCTCGACACAGGCGATTTCCATTGTTACTGGCACTGGGAAAAAGGAGACCCTGTATTTCCTTTCCACTGGCCATGCTACGAACTCCTCGTCCTCGTGTTGACCGGCGCTCGCGACCCTAGCGCCATTAACAAGGATGTCCTCTACAGCGTCATGCGTTCCATCTCCCCCCCGCTCGGCAGCGTTCTGGGATTGTGTTACAGCGAGCCTGATGCCGACCCCAAGATCGACCCCGAGCTGGAGCAATACTGGGAGTCCAGGCCCGGCCAGGAGCTTCTTCTCGCGTCCCCTGCTCGCTCCGAAGGACTACGCTACGTCGTCCTCGACGATCTGAGCCGTCGTGATTTCAACCTATTACCTGCCACGGACCCCGGCCTGGCCCGGAAATCCCAGGGGGATTGTTTCGCTCGACTGCCATGGGAGATCGTCTACTACATCCTTGGCTTTATTAGTGACGACTCCCTTTTTAAGCTTCTCCAGGCATCTCACTTTATCCACTCTTCATTGCACCGCGATGCCACTTTTTGGAAAAGCCGCATCTCGACCAAGCTGCCTTGGTTCTTCGAACTACACCACTTCCTCCAGAACGACCCTTCCGCCTCAACCAAGGACATGAAGGGTCTGTATCTCTGGGCCCGACACGTCACGAAGCCTCGCTTCGGCATGACCGGCCCCTACATGGCGATCGCCAACCGTCGCCGCATTTGGGGTGCGTGCCAGCAGCTTGCAGACCTCTACTGGCCCAATCTCCCGCCCCCCTCCGCGGCGCCGCGACCCACGGATCTTTCTATCCGAACCCGCACCTCCAACCCTCATATGTCGGTGGTATCATGCCCGATCGTCGGCCGCGAGGACCTCCGGAATGCCTTCTGGCTTCTCTCCTGGGAGGAAAACCGGCACGAGAAACTGGTGGAGGCATTCTGGGATGCTGATGGCTATCTCGTTGGCATGTCGGTTGCACCGAAAGGCTCCCCCCGACGACTGTTCGGACTCGATGATTCCGTCGAAGGCGTTATTGTTGGCTCCGTCGATCTCGACAAGTCAGTCTGGATAGCCGGCATAGACCTTCATATTCCGCCCCTGGACCTTTCGAACGTCAGTTGGGCCCGTCGTTTGAACTCCCCCGACGATCCCTTCGTGGAGCCATCTACCTCGCCCAAAGGCGTCACTGTGGGTCTATCTTGCTATATTTTTTTTCTTGCGTGCACTGGCTCACCAGAGATTACAACAGATTCACATGTCGGATGGCTTGGCAGTTTGGCTCGGCGACGTGAACAGAGATTACTGCATACGCCCATTGTGGCCCGCGGAAGGACACTCCGTCGTCGGTGTCAATGGGACGATTGGGGTGAGAGAAATACCCCCAAAATTTCGAGAAGTGACGAGTGGCTAGCCCATCTCTGTTGCAAATCTGGTTGGGCATGGAGTTAACTAACGTATTTGATGCGGCAGTCGATCAAGGGCAAAGAGCGCATCCTACGGCTCGGAATTCTCCAAGCGCCCCAAATAGGTGTAGCTTCGACGCCAGACAAAGCCGAACCCCCGCTCCAGAGGAGATGTCTCTGGAGGGAGGACTTCTACTACCACGCGGAGGGCCTGAGAATGGTGCCCGTCGGCGAAACAGAGACAACCAACTCGGACTTCCACCTCGACCTCCTCCCATACCACACGTTCAGGTGGAGCCAGGATGAGCGGGATCTGAAGCGTCTGAAACGGCTCACGGCGCAGTTCATCCCGGCAGGGACTGTGTCGAGGCCCGGCTCAGACTTTTCCTTCGAAATTACGCATGGTCTATGTAACATGCGAGCGGAATACGATGTCCTTCCTCACGATGCTCGGCCAGTAGCGAGACACGCAGACATCGACGGGACGCCTTTTCCCGAGACGGACCTCCGGCATTTCAACATTGATGGACCGGGAGGCGAACGTGTCATAGCGGTCTCTGCAGTGATGTCTGACCGGGTCGTGATGGGTCTCAGTGTGAGTATTTCACCTTTCTCGCCTTGCTGGCCCTCGTCCCGTAACTGTCTCGACTGACAAACAGCAGCTTGAGACCAACTTTGGCCGGAAGGTTATGTGGCAGACCGAAGAGGATGTGGGGAGCGATTGGCAACGAGTTACACATGGCGAGGGCGAGTACATCGCGGGCCTGGCTCTCTGTTTTGGGAAGGTATGCGGGTATGATCTGGAGCCCAAGAAAAGCTACAAGGTACGTTGTTTGAATTAACTCTCCAGTCCCCAGTCCCCAGTCCCCTGGTTGGGTCTTCTCTCTTCTTCCGGGCATGGGGGTTGGAAGCGTTGGCTGCGGCCCCAACGCAGAGGATTTCGCGACTCGAGAGGATGGAGCATTCTGGCTGACATTCCGATAGAACACGGAGCTGAGTGCTGTGGCGGTGCTGATGCTACCATGCCATAGCGGTACTGGAACCGCCCAGTTTCGAGAAAGCAGCGTCGGGGGCTCCCCTTAGCCCTTAAACCCGTCAGATGGGGCTCGGTGGGTTGGGTTACTGGCCGTTGGCAGAAGCCCCCTACCAGGAGCAGCCGGCAGACGACGCCGGCGGCGGAAATCAACCAGCAGAAGCTGCGTGTAAGGCTCTCCTGCTGATGATTTCGACCTTTGCGCCTGTTAGCAATGGAGTATTTCCGGCATTTTGTGTATATTTTTCCTGTTCTCCGAGTTTGCATCTTTCATAATATGCGAGCTGCTAGCATTTCTACTTGCTTAAGCAACGCAGTCGTGTCATACACCGTCTCTTTTTGTATCCCCGCCATAGTGGATGCAGGGTCGATTCCATCCTGGGACCAAGCAAACACATCGAATATATCGTGTTCGGTCTACCCAAATATACACGATCATACACGTAGGAGACATTTTCGGTTGCTTCACGATCCCACATCGAGGCGTCTCTCATTCGACTGGGGCGGATAAAAAGGTCATTTGATCTTTCTCACCACCCAGGCCTGGGCCTGATAGGCGTTCTTCACCAAAGCCTTCTCGTTGAAGCCGTACGAGGCCTCGCGTCCCCTGATCTTCTGACCCTCGAACGTCAGGTGGCCGCACACCTCGGGGGCATCGACAAACTCGAAGCCCATGGCAGTGACGACGGAGACGATCTCCTCGAGGCTGAGCTGGACGTATGGCCCGGTGCCGTACAACAGGGGCCCGAAGTTGATCCAGTAGCCGTCGACGGGGAGCAGGGCGTGGATGGTGTCGAAGTAGGCCATGAGGTTGCGCGCGGTGTCGATGAAGAAGTGAGTGACGATGGCATCGAACTGTTGACGGCGGTGCTTAGTGCTGGCGAAGACCTTGGTGAAGTCGCCTTCGACGAGCAGGACGGTGGACGGGTCGATGGTACTGTCAGGGAAGGTCACGCCGCGGAACATGTCGGCCGTGGTGGCATGGTGGGACCAGTTGTCGATGAAAGGGTGAACGTTGCTGGACGCCACGCCTGGGTTTGCTTCCAGGTAGCGGTAGGCGAGGTTCATGTACACGGACCATTCGTTGCTTGTGACTTCGAAGCCTGGAAACTCGTAGTTTTAGGGCCGGGCTGCGCGCCGCAAAAGAGTGTAGGACACAGGGCCTTGATGAAAAAGGAAAGGGGGGGACAGGAAAGGGGGGACAGGAAAAGGGGGGACAGGAAAAGGGGACCAGGAAAAGGGGAACAGGCAAAGGGGCAAAAGGATGTACCGCCAAGCGCAGATATTTCGTGACTCAGTCTCCCGACTCCAGATCCAGGGAGGAGAACCTTGACGGCAGGTCGTGGCTGTTCTCCACCGGAAAGGCGGCGGTCGGGGAAGAGAGATTGCAGGGCTTGAAGAATGCAGGGGAAGGCGGCATCACGCTCCCCGCGACCGCCGGCAGCCCAGTCGCGAACGTAATGCTTCAGGGCCTGGGAGACGCTCACGCGGTCGGCGACCTTGCCGTCGGACTCGCGGAGGCGGATATGGTCGTCGAGCTCGGGGCGGTCAATCTCGTAGAAGCGCAAGCCGTTCTCGACAATGGCGTTACAGAGGCGCTGGTTGTGGGCGATGAGGGCGGCGACGGCGTCGAGCTTGGCGGTGTAACCGACCTCACGCTCCAGGAGCTTCCTCTGGGTTGCCGAGGCGCTCTTGTAGAAGCGGCGCCACTTGTCCAGTTCGGCCGTCTGGCGCTCCTCATAGCGGACGTAGGCGTACAGCGCGTCCAAGAGGCGGTGGCGCGGGTGGTGGGCGTCCCATTTGCCGTTAGAACGGGAGAGGGATGAGAGAAGGCGGGTTTTCTCTTCCTCGTGGCGTGGGGAGGCTAGGTTAATCGGTGCTTCATCGTTGACAATATCTTCTGGTTGTTGAACTGTTACAACGACTTGGTGCATCTGAACATATTCGGGAATGGGCATCTGTAGGGGGAAAAGGAAAAGGTTAGATTCAAAGTTGGGGGTCGTCGATGCGTGGTGGCAAGGGTAAAACATGAAGAGTAGCACTGCACCGAAGCGAGGTCATCCTGTGAAGCTCCGTTATTGCTTTGAGCGGCGACAGGAGCATTGGATCTGTCTACATCAGAGGCGAAAACCATAGCGCCAAAGAGCGTGGCGGCAACAGTGATAAAGGAGACCATCTTGACACACGCGCCCCTCTGAAGGGTCAAGAAACAAACGAATGACGATTCCGCGAACTCGGAACCCGAACTGACACCTCAATTGACGACCATCAACGCAGAAGGTCTCAGCAAGGTCAAAATGAGGAGAAGACAGGAGAAGAAAAGAGGGTGGGGGGAATGAGGTGTCAAAGTCGGTTGGCGATGATTTCTCATGGTGTTGGCAGTTGCTTATTTCTTCAGGGGTGACATGTCGACAGTATGAAAGATAGGTACAGTTACTAGACGAAAAAGTACCGATAGCATATTCCAAGGTCAATTGCTTCGAATCTTCCGTGAAGGTTACTTCGGAACCACGAGGATCTAGGCGAAATGAACCAGGACTTCTTCAAAAGTGTCGAAGTCAATAGCCTTTGAGATGTACCGACACCTTGTCCGCCAAGGTACGGATACCTTACCTGGGTCCCTACAGTGTTGCGTGAGAACCCGGATGGCCGCCAAGAGGATGGTCGCGTTTGCATCGTTTCATCCTCTTTATCTTCTGATGTTCTTCCCATGGATGGCTTGTGCACCTGCAGCCGGGGAGGCTCAAGTTTTGAATTGGTTGAATGTGAGAGAGTGAAAAGGCTGTTCCGAGGAATAAATAAAAAATCGTGAACAGGGTGAAGTAACTCAACGCGACGCGTGGAGAGACACGACGGCCACGCGACCCCTGTGCCTGTACTACTTGATGATATAATCAAACGGATGCCCGGACACGTAATCATAGAACCTACCGTACACGTGTACCTACCTTTTGTATAATGAGGTAATTGCCCCAAAGGGCAAGATACAAAGTCGTTTTTCATCCCTTATCCCTCATCCCCCGAGTATTCGGCACGGCTGGTGAGGAGAGTCAATCGGCGGTGAACACTTTTTTATTGAAGAACTTTTTTATTGAAAAACATAATCATTGGGCCGGACACGATCTCCTCCACCCAAGCTCTTCGAAATATATACCTATGTACGGCCGTGTGCCTGTGCAAGGAAGGGGCGGCATCAATGACTCAACGGATAAGGGCGAGCGAGGGTCGAGACACGGAGAGCACGATCCGCTACCCAGACACGATTCCCGCCTGCAGCGCAGCGCCAGTCAATCCGCCTCGATGCGTCTCAATCCCCGTCGATCCTTTCACGTCCTCTTACCAAGTGGGTATGTTACGATGCGCCGAGACCTGCGCGCTTACCCACATGATGCGCTCTGCGAGTCGCAAAAACTCTGCCGCTCGCGGCTTTTCCATTCACGGCTCATCAGGGTCAACATAGTCGTAGCGGAGCAGGGGACCATGGATATCCATCACCTCCCGAATAGTGCGGTCCTCAACAACGCCAAACATGTGAAGCACATGGTCCAGGGTCGTGGCGCATCCGGGGTCGCCCTCCACCACGGGCTCTCTGTGGAGTGTTAGCGGCCTCTTCCTTCTTCGTACCACATCGTTCAGCGGGGAGAGATAAGGTGAATGACACTCACGGGACGTCGTCCGGACGCGGCGGGAAGATGACCTCCCCTCCACAGGGAGCATCCCCGGTAGTGTTTCCTCCCTGGAGATTCTGGCCGCTCATCTCAAATAAGCGCGCGGGGAGGTCCATCTTCTGCCAATCCCACCAGATCTTATCCAGCCAGGTGTGGTGGAGGTAGAAGAGGGGATCTCCGGGGCTCGAGATGGGGTTCGCCATCTGTGAGCAGCGTGTCAGTTCCATGAAAACTGACGAGATGGGAGAGAAAAGGCATTCGGGGGGGAGTGCAAAAGGGGCAATCTTTGTACCTGGCCTCCAATACCAGCGTGGCCTCCCCCATGCGGCTGGCCCTCGATGCAGGGCCAGGCAGCCTCCCACGTGTCCTCCGCTAGACATTCGTCGACGCGTTCCTGCGACGTGCCAATGCTGCGCGTCTCATTGACCCGACGGGTGATGCATTGCTCCCGCACGTCGTAGCCGACGCCGACTTGGTTCGTGTAGTTGGCGAAGGGGCCGTCTTGGATGCAATCGTCCGCCGTGCGATCACCGTCACCACCGAAGCCCAATACCGGATCAAGGATGGTGGAGTTGATGAAGTGTCCGGCGTCGATCTGCTCGTGCCAGTACCTGTTGTGGGGGGTTTTCCTCACATATCAGCCGGTGGCTACTCGTCAAATGCAACAAGCTGTATCACGTATTGCTGAACTGCATTTCGATCAGACCTCCAAGCCGGGAATGGCATGACTTACGGCTGTCCCCCCGTCCACCCGCACTCCTGCTCTAGGAGCTCCTCGTGAGCCCACATCATGAGTCGATGGAACGGCAAAAAGGCGCCCTTCAAAGGGGGATATAGGTCAGCCAGAGAAGCCCTTTCACGACTATGCCGATGGTAGATGGCTGGCATAGACAAAGTGGGAAAAGGACAGGCGGGGATACCTACGACATGGTGAGTGATCTCGGCCTGGAGAACATGGCAGGCCTGAAGTTCATCAAACTTGGTCTTGCCCCCGCGAATACCCAGGGTGCCTTCCTTCGACATGAGACAGAGCTCGGCATCGATGTAGTTACTCTTCTCCTCGTCGGTAAGTGTGTGCCTGTTGTTGCGGAAGGAACAGAATCAGCAACTCGTGCTTTTCAGGTTGTCGCCTCCGTATAGGAGGTGGAGGGAGAGCGCCTGAGCGGGAAATCCTTTACCAAGCTCGTCGCTGCTTGAGCGGCCGGCATGACCTCTTCCTCTTTTCCGTCGGACCAGCCACGGCGATGCTCGCCGCCAGGGCCGCGACGAGTAGACTTTTGAGAGATAGCGCCGTCATGGTAGCTATGCCGGTTTCCACAAAGGTATCGAGGGGGTGGAAGGCGAAAGATCAATAGATCAATGCTTCTGTTACTTGGCCTTGGATGCCCTGGAGGGAGGGGGGGGGGAACGGTCCGTCTTATCAAGAGGCGAGCGTCAATGGCAGCAATGAAGGCCGAGTTCATATTCGTCGGATGTGCAAAACGTCCCGAGCTTCTTGGCCTTCCATCGGACCATCGCTCCCTGCCGTCCCTACTGGTGCCCGCCCCTAATCTCCAGGGACTCGTTTGAAATCGCCCCCATTTTGTGCGGAGGACTGGTTCCAGCTCCTGGTTTCTAGGCCTTATTTATTTATTTATTTTTTATCAATTTTTTGTTTTCCTTTAAACAAACGAGTCCCCTATATTTAAGCGGACTGCTGGTTCCGTAGAGGCTGACGCATGAGTGGACACGGCTTATTAACCGGCCGTCTTCAACTTTTCCCCATACACGTACATACATATAAGCCGCAGCGATTAACCTACAGCTGCAGATGGCCCCGTGCTTTCACTTATGCGTCCGTATCTCGGGGTTCGTACTCCGTATAGAGAAAGGAAAGAAAAGCGATTTTCGGCGAGGGGAAGGGGCACAGGAGACGTTAGCTCTACGTACTGGGGGTTACAATGCAGATGCTACCGACCCTGCTGTCAGATAGAAAGGGTGGGAGTGAAGCAAATTTACCCCTTACACACAAAGAGAGACAGGGTAAAAGCCACAGCGCAGATCACTTGAGAGAGAGAATCCGAGAACCGAAAGATCCAAGTTAGGAAAGGGTTGTCATCAGGTCTAGCGATAGCGTTTGCAGGAGGGCATTCATGGCGGATCATCTCCTACCCTGGACCCGGGAGCGTAGATAATCCCGCAGTTGAATGCCAAACCAGACTTGAATATAATACGAGCGATGGGTATGGAAGACTCCGGGTCGATCGGATTCTGCGGGGTGGGAACCCAGTCACTAACCCTGTCCCCCCGGGTTAAGGGGGATAAGAGCCATAAGACATGTCTGCGGGAACAGCTGAGTCGTCGGACATGCGAGCAACCATGTCTACGACCTACTTTCTACTTTCTATTGTCTATTTTCTTCTTCTTTTCCTTTTTCGGTACTACCGTATCCTCTTGGTCCTCGTCTCCAGGAAATCCACCCTCTCCTTAGCCAAATGGCAGCCAACCGTGATGGCTTGTTGCGAGATAACGTGGAGATGGCAGCTGGGATGCCCAAATTCTTGCCTGTAGCTAATTTAGCACCTATGGCCTATACACTAGGGGTGAGGATAACGATTATAATATTGATGACTGACCGAGTCCGTGTTGTCCACAGAGGTGTATCGCTCGTTCCCAAGGAATCTTGATATTCGTGTATTGCTCGCGCGACTCGAAGAAAACCGTAAATACAGTAATACTCCTTGATCAGGGCGCTTTCTGTTCCTCGTCCATGGCCAAGTCGTCCCAGGAGACCTCATGAGCGCTCTTACCGAACGCTATATCTTTCTCCCAGTGACCTTTCTTGAATACCTAGGTCGGTTTTGCCGGATTTCCGCCCCAAGACTTTGACAGTCAGAACCAGTTGTTGGGCTTTGCAGCCGTCGGTGCCTAGGACGTAGTAACGGTATTGGTTCCTTGTGGAGTTACCGTTCTGACAGTCAACCTCGTAAATGATGGAATCTGCACTAGTCCAGCGATAAAGAATCTTGCTAATAGGCCATTTCTCCGCAACAAAACTCTGGGCCCCATAGGTTTCTTGAACTAGAGGCGGATATACCGTCCAGTCAAGAGAGCGAGGCAGAACAATGTCCTCATGGATTTGTGTGTGTGCAAGACTCATGGCCAGCCACAGCAAAACCGGGAGAAAGTATGCGAGTCACGCTCTTGGGTTGGGCAACGCCTCAAAGTCTGACGAGGTGAGGGTTGGGATATTGCCCCTTCAGGCGCCGAGTAATGGGGTGGGCATCAACATCCTAGGAGGTCACGGCAGTAGCACCTCCATTGTCAACCTCTGCACCTGCATGTTTCTCAATATTGGATAATGGTTGTGGCACGGCAACCGAGCACAAGAGAGGTGGACTGTAGCGTAGCTACAGCTCTGATGCAGGCCTTCAGCAAGATTCGCAGAGAGTAGCTATCATATAATGGTTAGATATCCGGAAGACTGTAGGGATGTCTGGGGAAGGTACCAGGCTCAGCAGGATATGCACTCGCCTGCGGTTTCCTTTCGATAAACGGAGATTTCGGGAGGGCTGGTGTTAGGCGATAGGAAAATTGAGGAGTAGGAGTAAAGAAAAGAAGCCTTCTATGGTGACCGGAAGAGTCGAGTTGGCATTAAAGAACAGGGAAAGCTTGGAGGGCAAAGTCAGGATTGCTACTAAAAGGTGGAAAGGAAGGATGCTGTGGAAAGAAGATGGAGAGTATAGTGCCTGGGGGTAACGGCACAACGGAAGTGGCAGTTTCGGATCATGTTCTTCCTGGAAGTGATGGCGCTGGACGCTATGTTGTTTGGGTTGTGGGTTGCCACCTGTGGGATTGCTCTGCTTTGGGATTCTATAGCACTTCAAGTCAAATCTTACATACAAGACAGATGCACTGATTGATAAACAAGAAAGAGCAAGAGTTATTATAGTGTCTTTGGAGAGTTGTGGTTAACTACGATCTACGGCTGCGATTCGGGTTCAGCCAGCTACTTTAGCCACAGCACACCGTCCATCGCTTAGTAAGGTACCTAAATAAAGCTGCTAACATGGAGCTTCACAGTGCTGACATTGCAGCATGGTACATTTGTCTCCAGATGAGATCGTAGCATCGAACTGACGGCACCGTACCTTCGCAAACAAATTTCCCTGTCATCGGCGCCATGTTTGGCTGGCTCCCTTCCCAATGAGCACGATGAGTATTATTCCTAGACGTCTACAAATAGTAAAACCTTCGCCGGGGCGAGTGTTCAGTCATAACGATCAACATGATGATGGAGAAGATGAAGTTAGAGACCGAACCCTTCAGGGATGAGCAGGGTGGAACCGTGGAATGAGGCCATGTTGAGAAGGAGTGGACAAAAGACAATCATTTGCATTGGCAACGACTATGATTCAAAGGCTGTACGGGAAGGGTTTGAATGACTTGGGAACCACATTTGCGAAGTCGTATCTGTCAGGAGCGAAGTCTTCGGTGAGGTATCTCGGTGAGTGTCACAGCACATGTGATGTCTACCATTTTAGGCAGGTGGGAACTGTGGGGAAGCACATCCAATGGTCGGTCCGTCCCAGAATGGAAGTCTGACGTCAGTCATGCCACAACCTCTGCACGTGTACCTTTTGTACACCGTCCCGTCATACCTTACTGTATACGGTGGCTAGGTACCTTAGCTACCAAGGATTAATTAACAAGAAGTGCTGGCCCTACCTACCTACCTTACCTACCTAGTAGACTTCATATTTTCGTCATTCTAAAGGTTCTTTGTGGACGGCCCTTAAATAGATCTATCGGAGCAGGAAAACTGAACTCATTTTATCTTCCCAACACATCAAGTTCAACATACAAGTCTTTGTGCGAGATTGAGAGGAACCCAAACTGAAATCGAATATCCAAGATGGCATCCGAGAACCCAACCTACTACAACAACAACCGTACCGGCGCTCCAGTGCAAGCTGGCTACGAGAATCCCGCCACAACCGATTCTTCCCTCAATGCTGCCACCAACCCGAACGCGGCCAAATATCAACCCCCGACGGCGGGAGCGGAGACGAGCGCTGCAACTACCGCCACCGCAGGGGAGAGCCGTTTCGATCCCACAACCCCAGCCGAAGGAACCACCAGCGGGCACGGCATTCCGCCATCTTCTGCAGCCGCTCCCGCCGCCGGCACCAACACGACGACCAGCGATACCGCGGCCGGCCGTCGCCAGAGCCGAGGGTTCACAGACACTGTAAAGGGTGCGATGGCTCAGGGTCATGTACGTCATTCTTGACTCTTTTGCCCCAATGCCCTCTGTTGTTGAAGTCTCCGCTTCTACATCCTCCTCTTCTTATCCTCTCATGGGCCCACCACCTTATGCCATTTGAAGACTGCTGACACTCTCCGCAACAGGGCCTCGGCGAAGCGGCTCGCGGCAGCTTCAACGCCAAGGTGGACGAATTGATGGGCGACGAGACGGGAAGGCAAAAGGACCAGGCCGTCGTCGCAGGGGGGAAACGGGAGTTTACCAACAAGGAGTTTGAGAGGAAGGGCTGGGATAAGGCGCTCTGAAGTCGGATCAAGCGAAAAACGAACGATCCTCACAAGAGTGTCCCCGGGCGTTTGTAACGACATGTCGTGAAAATAGAATGATGATATACCAATGAACTGTATGCAATACAGACTTTGTCTGCGAGACAACTCGACGGGATCTCATGGTAATTCCTAGGATCGTCGAAGACTCTTGATTGTGCATTCCGGCGAGACACTCAAACGGGGCGGGGCTGGGCTTTGCTACCCACTTCCAGCTGTCCCGTCATCCATAGACGCACAGTCCAGCAAGAAAGCAAGGCCTCTTGAACCGGCAGATCAACGCCCGGAAGAAGCTCGATGTCGCACCCGGAGTCCAGGGCGACCGGCTTCCCCGAGGCTCCATGCTTCCAAGCACGCGTGCCGGAGCGCCCCGCCTCGACGACGAAGAGAGGGCGGCGACGCCACTCGTCTTGGGGGCGGTACCCCCACCGCTGCATGCGTGCATCGGCGCGCCTGCGCTGGGCTGCGGACACCGGGGTGACGTGCCAGAAGCGGCACGCGCCGGAATCGCGGAAAAGTGATCAATACCTACGCCCGGGCCCGTTTTTCGATATTGTACGGCGTTTCATGGTAGACTTCCTCCTATAGTGTCTATGTATCCCTGCCACCTGTATTAATAAAACCGGGGCTATACTTCTACGAAGCCTTACCTTATATTGGAGAACGATGAGTATAGCATAGGTAGGGAGGTATAGACAGTCTCCAAATCATGGATAAGGAGGCGGTGCCAGCACCATCTTCTCATAAAGCCCGTCAGCCCGGGAGGACTGGCAGAAGACTGCTGGCCAGTTGAGTACCAGGCAGAGGTAGGGGGGAAGGCGATTTGTAATTTTTGTCCAGGCTGCCATGAGATCATGGTTAGAGCGAGAAATAAAGCGTATCGTTCGAAAGGACAGAGGCGGGGAACGTTACTAAGCTACGAATAGACGTCGTGGAGTTTGTGGAGTGAGTACCCGATTGATACATCAATTTCTTCTGAGCATAAGACGATACAAGGGTATGCAATATATGAGATACACGAATAATTATCTGCTTATGTCAGCACACAAATAAGGTACGCAAAAGATGTGTATATGCATTGAAGAAGAGTAAAAGATACTCTGCGGAAATATCTAACTATAAAGTAAAAGGAGGGGAAATTAATGTGGATATATCGGTCGGAAGTACCCTATCCGTCTATAGAAATAGTATAAGTCACACCCCGATAAGGTGGCTATAGGTATCTAATACACCCCCCTAGAACTATAGGATTAATCCTAACTATTCTGCTTAATTAAAGCCGTAAATCTAGGGTAAAATAAAGGCCTAGATATTAATCCAACGATTAAACGGCTTATTAAAAAGCGCGCTCTTTTTATGCCTAAAAACGTTAAAAACGTGTAAAAACAGGTGGTCAAATTAACCCCATAATAACGTTAAGACGTCAAAAAACGGGTGCCTAAATAATAATCTAAAGGGCACTAAAATAACGGTTAATCTAGGCTATAGATTATAAACTTAGCACCGCGCCTTTTATAAATTACCTTAAGCCCCCTGGCTTAGGACCTCTATCCCTAACAGATATACAAACGCCTTATATTTCTGCGGGGGAAGTACTTTAGTTAGTCTATCGCTAACTATCTCTTAGGTCAAGATCCAGGCGATTAGGACCTTCTTCTATTAAACGACCTATCGGATCTAAAGGGCGTGGATATCTAGATACTTTAATCTAGATATAACCTAAGGACGTAAAGCCTTTAATAGGATCCTTATTTAGTCGTTATCGTAGTATATTATTAGTGGTTCCTCCTTAAAGGTTAAGGTTAGGTTCTTAATTAAACGCCTTGTCGTGATATACTACCTAGTAGTAGCAGAAAGTGCTATAAGCTCGGCTTTAGTACTAGAGTTCACGACGCTTATTTACTTATTTACCTTCTAGTCTATAGGGCCACCGAATAATAATATAGTATAGCCTTAGGAACTATACTAAGTCATACGGTCGTTCCTAAAGGCTGCGTTAGAAGTATAGTAAAGTGCGTGCTATAGGTGGTTATTACGTAGTCTAAAGTAAAGGTATAAGGACTTAGTAGAGGCGAGGTACTTTAAACACCTATCTACGGTATCGTGATACTATTTTAACGGGTTGGTATTAAATTCCGTAAGCCTCGAAGCAGCTTTGGATACGTTAGGCCGGGTCTAATAGGCCGCGTAATTAATAGAACCGACCTTCCGTAGATATAGGTAGATTAAATCTATAGAGGCTTATTCGGTTATAGGTTATAAAACGTCAGGAAAAGGAAGAGGGCTTTTAACCCTACGCCCACTAATAGGGAAATCTATCCCTAAAGCCTTAATCTTTTCGGTGATATAGTTCTTAAGGGAAAGCTATAGCCGACGTTATTAGCGATCTCGAACCACTCTAATCTCCAGGAACCACTTAAGTAGGCCTAGGTCCCTTACTTAAAAGTACTGCTATATCCGGTATTTAAGAGAATTAGCAGTAGATTAATATTCCTTCCTATAGATTAGAATAATATCGTCCACGTAGAAGAAGACGATTAGTTCCTTACTTTTAAAGATGTAATCGTCTTTAGTTAGTTACTTTAGGTCGCACTTACCTAAAACGGAAGAGAGCGATTCATGCTATAGCTTAGGGGAGCGACGTAGGCTATATAACGCCCTGCGTAGGCGTTATATACCACGCGAGGGTAGCCGTGATAGCTTTAAAATAGCCTCGAGGTCCTAATCGCTCTTCGCGCCTTTTACTGCTTAAAGTAGCGGCTAGCTAGGTGGATCCTTAACGTAAATCTCTTCGTTAAGGGTGGCGTTAGTGAAGGCGTTAACGGTATCTAGCTAACGTGTTTCGAGGTTAAAATAGACAGTAATAGCTATTAACGACCTAAAGGTCCTTCCTGCGAGGGTGGAGGCGTAGGCGTTAAGGTGGTTTTTAGGCTATTAATCTCCTCGCACGTATAACCTCGCCTTAAACTTACTAATATACTCCGATAAGTTAACCTTATACTTAAAGACCCATTTAAGGTCTAAGGTATATTACCCACCCTAGGGCAGCTTTACTGCTTTAAAGGTGCCTATTAACCTAAGTATATCCACCTCTTATATAGCTGCCCTAAGCCACTACAGCTTATAGGGGCTCTTTAGTATCAAAGACTAATTTAACGGTTCCTTAGATATCTCTCGGCGTAATAACGGCTTCTTCGGCTTCTCGAAGGTATAATAGGAGATATAATCGTTGTACCTAGAAGGAGGTCGGCGATTACGAGCAGGCCGCCCTACAGGGGCAGGCGTTAAAGCTAAAGCAGGCGAATAAGAGGTTAGTTATTAGGCTGTAATAGTAGTAGTAGTAGTAGGATTAGACTTAGCTGCTAAAGATAGGGTTACTGTTTATGGATTAGTTATTTAAGGAGTAGCGGCAGTGGTAGTGGTAATGTAACCAGATGAAGACGTAGTGGCACCAGATCCTTATGACAAAGATCAGATAAAGAGGTTAGTCTAGTAAAACCACGATACATAACCAAAACATAACCAACACCGCTATAACCTTTAGCGAAGAAGTAGATCGGTAGTCTCTATTCTGATTAGGATAATGTAAGTTAAACTAGAAAGATACCTTAAACGTAGAATAAGCAATTGTAAAAGAGGATAATAATTAAATGATAATCCCTTAATAGGGACGTCCGGCGCCTATCCTTAATATATATATAGGAGGTGGACCCCGTAGCCTTAAAAAGGGGATCACGTGACCACCTACTAAATCACTCCAAAGCCGTATCTACGTGGTTATAATACGGCCCTAGTTATCTCATTTACGCCCTCGTAACGTAGATAACTCCTAAAAATAAGCAGATATAAGCAAATAAACCAAGTAAAGAGCTATCGCACACCCTTATTCCTCTAATTACTCCGTTCTCCACGTATACCTGATTAGGGATCCTCTTAGTTCTAGTTCCTCCGTATATACCGTTCTCTTACTATCTTTATCGGCTATATCCTTAAGACGTCCCTTATCTAATCCTCTATATATACCTCTAATTACGCTTTCGTAACGTTCTTCCTCCGACTATATAGTTAGGTTTGCTAGCCTTCTTAGCTTCTTAATTAGTAATAGCTTTATCTACCTCCTACTCGATAGCGGTATTATAACGCCGCTAGCCTCCCTACTCCACTACTCGCGATAGCAGGAGATACTCACTACTATTAGTAGCGGTATCCTATAAGGCGGCTTTATAGGGGTTATTAAACGACTAGACCTAATCCTCCCGACTATAGTTACTCGGTCTAAACGGTATATTCCTTATCTCGATTAGCCTATAGAATAGCAGGCTACGAGATATCTCTAGACCACGACCTTAGTACGCCTAATCCTTCTCCTACTTACTTTATATATCGGTCCTTACGGTAAAACTAACGAGGTCCTCTCCCTTATACGTATAGTAGCCAGTAGCCGAACTAATCTTAATAGGAGCGGGCTACGGCTGCTTCTTTAGCTCTATCTTCTTCTAATTAGGGGAACCGGCAGGGGCTTAGGCTTTATAAGACTTAGGCGGTATTATAATAGGAGAGGATTCGGTAGCTAGGGGCGTGTATTCCTTAGTGACCTTCTTATACTTAGGGGTGGTAAGCTTAAGGTTACCTAGTTCTGGGAACGCGCCGCTATTATCCTTATCGAACGTCGGGACTTTAGTCAGTCCCTAATCAGGGGAAAAGGACTTCTACTTAGTCGTCTAAGGGGTCTCGGGCGCCTTAGGCGTCTTTAGTATCTTCGGTCTCTTAGGCGGGTTAACGGGCGTTTATTTCTTATTAATAGGCTTAAAACCCGTTATCTTAGGCGGATTATAGAAGGGGGTTACGATAGGAGTAGTAGTAGGAGCTAAGTCAGGGGTCGGGGTAGGTTACTTAAAAGCTAGCTCGAGCTAATAGCCGAAGCCGAAGAGTTCGCCTATATAGCTTAACTAACTATACCGGATATACTATATATAACTAGCGTTATCGGTGGTATAATAGCGTCCGTCCTATAGCCGATATAGCCTAAAGGATACAGGAAATAAGTAACCCTCCTAAATAATAGAATAAATCTATTCACTAACGAATAGACTACACGAATACGTGTC